TTTCAGCTTTTAAGACGATTGCTTACAAGTAAATAGCTCACCCCCAAAATCTAAAAAGTTCGTATCTGGAAATTCTTCTGGGGAATTATTATGTAATTCAAAGAATACCACAAAAGAAAATGATAAAAATTAAGCTTTGAATATAGAATCTCCAAATTGGCTTATTCCTGCTATTTTACAAACAATACAAAAGGATTTTTGTTATTTTTAAGAAAAATAAATTTTAAACATACATACGATCTGACAGAATACAACAGACTATTTTTGAGAAATGTGAAAATCGAATGGGATCAAGTTATTTGCGCTTTCATTAATTTAATGAGCCAGTAATTAACTGTTGTCATCCGCTAAGTTGTTTCCGATATGTTGGCGCGAGGGAGGTCAACATCAACTTTGATTCAAAAGGAACATTGGTTCCAACCGTACAGCCTAAGCATACATCAGAACCTTTCAGACACGTCGTTAGGTCGAAGTACGGGAAATCAGAAACGTTTCACTTATTATCTAATTTGAATTTAGTAAATATTTATCGAATTTATAAAATTTATTTATATATTCACTCGGTTATCGTATAAAATATAAAAATTTCTTACTTATTTCAGTTGAAAAATAAAATTTTACTTGGAAATGTTTTACGCGAAAGAATCATCTCATCCTTTAAATTCAATATTATGGTTGTCAGGATTTTCCTTTTACTAACAAAACTTCTTTGTTACATAAGTCTACTTTAAAGCCATTTTATATCGCACAAAACTGCAAATTATTCTAATGTCACTTGAAGAAACTTGTAAATTATTGAAATCTGAATTGAGACTGTAGCTTTTGATATCCAATATGAACGCTTACAAATGCCGGCATAATTGTTTCTGGACTTTATAAGCATTCTTTATTTGTTTTTACCCATTATAATTCAAACATTTATCTTTAAGTCTGCAGATTTACAGAAAATTATTAATAAGAATGAATACTAATAAAAAAAAATGGTGGTTTATCCTCGCCACACACTAAGTGGCATTCGACGTTCGTTGTCAGAATTGTGGCTACGAAACAAAAGACTTTCCTATTACTTTGTTTAAAGAAGAATAGAGCTTCTGAGGTATGGTACATACTAAGGTGCGTCGGTACTCGAACGCAGAACTTCCCCACCGCTAGAATGGAAGTTGAATCAACTATGAAACTCTGTGTCGCTGCTTTCCACGCGGTCAGACCACTCGCCGTGTGAATTCTCTTCTGTCGGAGTATCTAAAGAACACTGTTTATGTGCCACCATTATCCACGTCATTGGCAAAACCCCGGGACCTCATTACATCTGCAATTACGACCATCCAGAGAATGCGTGAAAAGAACTAAAAATTGCTTAGATATGCGACTAGAAAAAGAACACATAGAACAGCTTTGTTCGTGTAACACAAACTTCGATTATTACTAAATCTTTTCAATAAAAATATATTTCGTATACGCTTCGGACGAAATTGTTTTCAGCGGGAATATTTTTATTGTATAAATTAGAGCAAAAAATTGAAAAAAGTTGAAAAGTAGTCCCGAATATACGGTATATTTCCCAGTTATCAGAGGAAGCAATTACAATACAATCAATAACTGCAATGCCAAAACGACGAGAATAATTAAACATTGAAAGATAATAACAGATAATAAATGTCGATGGACGTTTCGATTAGCAATAAATAATTACGCGTATTGTGTACTAAGAATTATTCAATTATGACTATGCGATATATACTCGAGATAAAATTATGTTGAAAAATTTACGTATCCTTAGCGGTGACGTCGATGATTTTTGACTTTTCCAATTTGAATGTCAGGCGGAGCCACTAGGTTTTTTTTTTTTTTTTTTAATTTGTAACTGACGACTTAACCGCCAATTCGATTAAACTTGGAAAAGAAGATTCGGAGTTTGTGCGTTATAAAAAGGGGAAAATGCAAACTTTTTTAATTAAGAAAGGAAAAAGATTTGTTGCAAGGAAGAGAAATGCCGACAACGGTAATATTGAACTTATGAGGTGAGACGTCGAAGCACGTCGAAGAACTCGACTGAAAGGTTTTGGGTCACCTTTTGCCTGTCGTTAGACGTAAATTCTCCTTCCACTAAAACAAGGCGCATTATTTCTCTTTAATGTTAAGAGAAGGAAAATACTCGGAGGATTGTATCACTTTATGGATCTTTAACATATCTGGTTTATTTTTTGGATTTTCCAATTCTCCCCTTAAGTAACCCGAAAGGTCGTATGTATATTTAAAATTTATATGTCTAATAATATAAAAGTCTGTCAGATTTGTTTTAAGTGAGAAATTAATAATAAAAGTTAACGTTTTATTTTACGATGTTTGATATTTACGTTTCTTCTTCTAACATACTTAGGAGGAGTCCAACGTTTCCCCAGAAGAATTAAGGATGAAATCTGAAAGTTTCGAAGAAAGAAGTGGACATTTGCTACGGAGAAAATGGATTTAGAGATCGGAAAGACTTTCTTTGTTATAAATTGATCGAAAAAAATATTTTTGTAAATAAATATTGAACAATTTTTGTCGGGACCGAAAGAAACGAAGAAATTGTTATAAATGGTTGATTTCTGCATTTTACGATAAATTTGAAATTGGATTTATTTTAGATAAAATATAGATTTATTTTTAAGATATAGCCAATAAGTCGAACATCTATTTATTTTGTAATTCTATTTATTGATTTATGTTCGATATTTAAATTCAGATTTAACATCGTTTGACTTTTCTATAGGTTTTGTGCACGAAAACGCAAAGAAATTTCGTTGTGAAGATTGTGGAAAAGAATTTCGTTTCAAGTCCGAATTAGAACGTCATCGCAGGATTCACACGGGAGAAAAGCCATTCCATTGTCAGTTCTGCGCTCAAAGATTCAGTGATAAGTCTAATTTACTAAAGCACGTTAGGATTCATTCTGGAGAGAAACCTTTTACCTGCGACCATTGCAAATGCAGCTTTACATTACGCCATCATCTAGCATATCATCTTCGCATTCACACAGGAGAAAAGCCATTTGCTTGTGATCAGTGCAAACGGAAATTTTCGAGGAAAGATAATCTAATAAGTCATCTTCGCATTCACGCAGGGCAAGAGACTTGAAAATTGTCTTGAAAATTCAGCTTAAGTTATCACAGGAAACACCTTCCAAATAAACATTCGTAAAGCTCTTTTTCACTTCTAAATTTTGAATGTTTTAGAATTCTTCCAGCATTTATTTTATGGATGTTCTTTCAAAACGTGTAATCTGATTTAAATATTTGTTTTATGTAATTTATATAGTTATGAAAATAAAACGTTTTGGAATTGAAATATTAACTTTTCTTATTGTAATTAAAAAATAAAGAAGCTTTGAATAACAAATCACAGTAGTTTTGATTTACCTTTTGATTCGTCGAATGCAACGTTATAACAGAAAATACTCAGACGTTGACATTATTTCTTATTTAGTAAAAGGAAATATATATATATATGTACGGACACATTATAAAACACATAAGAATCGTGAATATCAATTTCAATAGAAAAATAAAATAATGTTCATAATACAGCACCTAGTAGTAAGCCTGTATAAATCAATACAGTGATGATAATTGGTAATAACAATGAATTTTAGTCAATTCCCGTAGCTTGTCGAACGACTTGTCTGGGAAGTTTTTCTTCATTTTTTGAATTGTTGGATGTAAAAATTTGACCAACATTTGACCTCCAACATTATAATGTGGAAAGTATTCTCAACTGCCAAGGTGCGTCACATCGTTCCGCGCCTTATTTTGTACCGAGTTCCGCCATGTTAGAAGCTAGACAAAAGGCTTGTGATGGTCGACTGTTCTTTGTATTTGCTCAATGAAACATAGTTTGCACTCAGTGTATCATTATACACAATCTCTTCACTTTTAACAGAAAGTACTCAGAGAATGACATTACATTATGAATCAACAAGAAAAACACTAATAATATCGTACATTTATGTTTAAAATTTTTCGTATCTCGTTTTTTATTATGAAAGATCTTACGGTTGAGATGAATTTATAAAAATATTGTAAATTCTAATAACGAATAGAATTTTTATTAAATCCGGCTTCATCCGAGGTACGACACGTGATCCTCTCCATCTTTTTACTCCCTCCAGCTTCAACCACCAAAATTTAATAGCATAATTTTCCTTATAAACAAGTTGACGTGCCAAATTTCGTTTTTAACCTTTACCTAATTTAATATATTAAGAAATAAATACCAACACAAACAGGGGAAAATAAAATTCAAAGCATATAGAATAACAGGAAAAATCGACAGAAAAAAGGAAGAATAAAGATGCAAATTCAAAAACTATGCAATAAATTGGATATACCTTAACCTTAATACAAACATCGCCAGTAATCGTCGAAGCTATCTTTAAATGACGAAGATAGTTTCATATACCTTATTTGAATGAGGTTGAAATAATTTTTACGTAATAAACCGTCCATATTCATTACGATATAGGACGATACCGAAAACTTATACAATATAGATACTGCAATTTAACAAGGGCAAAAAGGCGATATATTGCGTAAACGGAAAGTAAAGAAATTCATCTGAAGGTAGGGTAATCCGTGGTTTTGTACTCCAGCCGAGAGCCGAGTTGAATCTTCAAAATTCCGAGCTGTGCTCAGCTCATTTGTATATCTGTATTAAGAGTTTTCCACTCACAATTTTCAGTTTTTCGCGCATTTGCATAATTTAAATCAAGAGTCGAAGCAACGATATTTCAATGTATTTCCAAAATGTTTCTATCAGTTTATATGAAAAGTATTAAGAAATGTAAATTATTTAACTAGAAGAAAATTTATAGAATATAAATCGTAAACACCGTTTTTATAACGATAACTTTTCTAAATTATATTCTTTATAAACGAGAATATTTTGTAAAAATTAAAACTTTTACACAATATTTTTCGGCAACAATCATTTTCACGAGCTTATTTGCATATAAACTGTATTATCGACAACTTAATCGTTTCTTTTGTATTGTAAGGATGTTTATGGCTAAACGAAACCATTGAGTGATATTTTAGAATTTCTGACAATTTTCGTTGTTATTCCTACGAATTTCCAACAATCTTATTGTTAGAGTGAAGGAACATGTCAAACGTGGAATTTCGAGAAAGATTCAACCTCGAGGAAATAACTATAACTAACGAGAATGGAGAATCTGTGGTCGTGTCGCGAGCATCCTTGATACACAAAGGAGGATTATTGAAACACTTCGTAATTGTGTGTCCGAATGAACGAAATTTCATTGTCAAACTATCTCTGACGTTGGAAATGCTCGAGCAATTTGCCAGGTTTGTACGAATCTATTATTAGAATACTTACTTAAATTGGTATACGGCAGTATAAAAATATTTCCATAAATATTGGTGCGAGTATGTAAAATAATTTGCATGTATTAACTCTTTCCCACACGGCCCACCAGTGGCCAAGCGTTCTTTGCTCCCTGAACACTGGGAGTTCGGTCGTGGGTTTGCGCCTCACTCGGATGGGCTTGCTACGTTGAGTTTCCGAGTTTTCTTTACGTCTGTAACGCCTAAATAGGGGCCAGTTTCTCTTAAAACCACCTCCCGGAAAGCATCCCCTTAGGCAGATCGCGCAAGTGTTGCGTTGCCATAACTACACAAACAAACAAACTTTCCCACACCCTAAACAATACTTATTTCGATAAACTTAAAACAACACACACACACACACACACTTTAAGATAAATAACACAATTAAATGTCGCAATACAATATATAATGAAACACACTAAAAAAAAGCACAGAATTCATCGGAGGTAACGCGAGAAGCGAGACAACACTTTGGCGCACAACACATTGCATTTAAGTTTCGAGAGCATTTTTCCGTTGCTCGAGCAGTTCGAACTTCGAAGAACCCAGACCCAATTTTTGTCGAATTTAGAGTTCGATCTCTGAAGCGCTTGAAGTTAGAATCGTTCGAAATACGAGGTACAGTACCACTGTAATGTAACAATAATGAATAGAAAACGCTTTGGCAGATTGTTTAAGTAACAAACCATTACTGTCGATAAAAAAAATTCCATTATTTTCTTGTTAACATTCTTTCCCCATTAAATTATGTGATAATTATCTTCAAATCTTTCGCTTCCATTTCTGTCTTAATGCATTGCAGAATAGCACGAATGGTTACAGGTGTGACATTCCCTCTCTTAATTGTGCAAGTTATGGCTTAATGGCTAAAGATATTTTACCGATTATTTGAACTTATTTAAACATTAAAATACAGAATCTTTTTCTAATTAAACCAGTCGTTAACAATCTGTCTTAAAAGTAATTTTGTTTTTGTTTTAATCAATATAGGGAGAAATTTCTCAATTTACATATAAACTTGTGTCTTTAGAATATACAACTTCGTGTTTTTGCCTTACAGTATAATTGTCTATGGTACGTTTTTACGTGTTTCTGTTTGAAGGTGATGTGTTTATCCAGAATTAATATAAATTAATATATATTTATGTACAGTACCTTAAATTATTTAAATTTATTTTATCTACTTTATATAACGTTTCCCTAATGTATTCTTGTTTCAGATTTTTGCAGAACGAAACTATGGCGTTATTTTCTGCGGATAACTGTTTTCGAATGTATTTAATCAGCAGACGTTATTTTATTGGACAATTGCAAAAAGTATGCTTCGATTATCTCAGAGTGTCGATTCACGATAGAAACGTTTGTCGTATCCACGATTTGTCTCGCAAACACTACGAAAAACGACTGCAGTATCATTGTTGGGATGCATTCAATTGGTCTGACGGAAACTTATTCGACACCTGCGATTTCCAATCGTGTGAAGTAACTACCCTCTTCAAGTTGTTGACGTGTCCCGTCTATCACAAACTGGAGGAATTCCATTTGTTGCTTGGTCTTCGGGTGTGGGTCGATCGCAAATTTACTGAATTACGAAAAATAAATGACAACGTATCAAGAAGAGACGTTATAAGACCTTTCATCTCGTTGATTAGATTTCTAATTATACAATCACATTTAATAAAGAAGGCTTGTAACAAATTTCAAAGTGTTTACCTTTCAAGAAGAGAAATTCGATCCATTAGAAAATATCGAACTCAGAAAAATGTAGCAATCCTTCGGGCAACGATATCTGGTAATGTTAAGCGGCGAAATATTGAGGATTATTCTTCGTCAGTTGCGTTAAAAAGGGTGAAACCTCGAATGTCAAATAGTAATAAGGTGATGAATGAAAACTTTCGGTTCGCCGCTGACATTTGGGTACCGGAAAACTGCGTTGTGAAGAAGATTGAACTGCCAATAACCCATCTTAGTCCCGAAGGAATAGAGGTTCTTGTCGGTGTGAAGTCGACATATAATCAAGACTTTTTATACGAAAGAAGCATTTGCGATGAAAAACGATATGTACATTTAGAAAAATATAAACTTCTGCCGAAGCGCAGCTTTCATATATTTTCAGTTAAGGTTTCTAAAAAAGAAATTGGGTCGTCCTTTATCACGGTTAATAAACGTACACGCGAATACGTGCCGATCTACGATTTTTGTGATGAGACTACGAGATTTGAAGAGGAGAAGACGAAATTTTCTTGTAAAATTTTCTTTATTTACTGAAATTTGTGGAAATGTATCCGATTCGGATATTTCACGTGTGTTATTTAACACGAGTGTGAAATCCGCGATTTTTACGCCGATGTCGGAAAAATCTTTGTAAATAACTCCGATGGAAAAACCCACTCTTGGTGAGAAGTATATCGGAGGTCACCGATTGTTTTCACATTATGGTGGGAAAGTTGACAGTTAGTTGATCGGAATGCACCGTAAGTGTCAACTGAAGTCGATCACGTGACTTATTTCCCACGATAACGTATAAAAGCTCTAGTCCCCGGAAGCTCCGGGCGATCCCTCGGAAGTTATACTTGGTAGATGTGCCATATTTGTGTCCATACTCCGGACCGAAAGGACATACGATCAACCACAGCCGTTTGAACTTCCATCGCCATTAACGAACATATTCAACGAACACATTTTAGACATATCGGCATAGAGGTATTTGTACTTTTTAGAGCTCTGTGAACTCTCTCTCACTAGCAGGCAAGCTATTAGAGCGTCCCTTTTGTATAGTAAACTTATTTAATCGCATTTAACCTATGTATCCTAGCTTAGTTATATAAATAAATGCTTGTTTTGTTTTTAAACCTGTCTCCTGTCTCTGAAGGATACCTGCCGACTTACCGACGAACTCCCCACTCAAATTTTTGCCCTCCTAGCCATCCGACAAGCCGAGAACGAATTTTACCAACCTGTTGCAGAGTAAGTGGTCATTTGGGATGAGCCCAGTGACCCACTGCTAATCTCACACGAGGAATGTTTCCTTTGCTTTCCAGAAAGTTTGTAAAATGACGTCGGTGTATTTTTAAGAATATCACAAATTTTATTTTTGTTGGATTTTAATAATTTGATATAAAAGATCGATGATTAAGCAGTTTTAAGTAATGATTTAAATACAATTCTCTCTGTAATCTGACATACATCTGTGACCGCTGGGTGTAGGATTACAGCAATTGTCCAATTACTGAATTTTGTATGTACGCAAGCACTGTACAGATGAAAAACGACTTGGTTTATAGGTTAGCTGTTTTAATCACGATTAGGACTGTTTTGCCGGCTCCACGGGCAATAAACAACTAGCGACTGTCCATATACACGTGTCGTACATCAGTCTTTCTTTCTCGCATACATAGACAACGGGTAACACGAAAATTTCGTGTGCACCTGCAAAGCGTGGGATTACTGGAGATGTCGGACTAGCGAATCCTGTTCAGTAATCCCATACACAGTATATATTTACGTATACAGCATAGACAATACAGTATACGTAAATATATTTTTTTGCGAAATATTAGACACACCGCTTAATTTACACTGTAATTTGTTAATGCGAAATTATTAGGTCCGATATTTCTCCAAATTTTCTAAAAAAATACAAAAAAGGGGCACCGTTTGATACAAATTTATTCTCTGGTAAACGTGGTATTTTCAGGCGGTTTAATTAAGCAATATAATTATTCATTAAAAACCATATAATTTGTACTAAATTCTCAATTATTATAAAATATTTATTGAAATGACTGAAAGTTTTCAATGCGCAAACAACATATTATAACAGATTTATTCTGTTTAATAAGTCACATTGTGTTGTCACACAACCTGTCAGAAAAAAATTTATCACACAGTCTAAGGGTTGGTATTGATCCAAGAACAATGCTTTAACTTTTCGACTGCACCCAACTCGTGGCTAATTTCTTGATTCTATTAATTTCCCGGACTCTGTCTAGTACAATAGAGCAATATAAATACGCTCGCTAACGGGTGCACGAAAATCCGACAGATTATATTCATACGGATCGTATGAGGTAGTCGCAATGTATAGTAAGCTGCTTGTTGGTTTAATTAATATAGATAATAAAAAGTAACCCAAAACCTTAAGCACTTTGAGTAGAGAAGACCAATCTTTTGATAGCAACTAGATTTACTTAATTACTTAATTTGAATATTCTGACAATTATCACTATTTTAAAAATGACTACGAATGTCCAAATACTAATTTTTTAATTCCTATATAAAGAACGTCGTCTAATATCATTGAACAATTGAATCAAATAAATTTTCAATTTTTATACTTTTCAATTGAAATTCGCAAGAATTACATTAAATTAATTTTAATAATTTTCATTATTTCAAAAATGGCTACGAATGTCGTAATTCTACTTTTTTAATTACTATATGAAAAACGTCGTCTTATATCATTGAAGAATTGAATCAAAGAAATTTTCAATTTTTGTAGTTTTTAATTGAAATTCGCAAGAATTACATTAAATCAATTTTAATAATTTTCATTATTTATATACAATATTTAGTGTATAAAAATATGTACACTTTTTTCGAAATTTATAAGATATAATTTCATTGAAATTATAACATAAATTTGCGATTTATCATAAGTTAAACTTATTTTGAAAAAAACTTATTAAATTATATAAGATTATTCTCTATTAATAATAATAATAAACGGTTTAATAGAAATTACAAATTCATTCTATAAATGTAATATAAGTCATTAAATTTAATACTTAATTATTTTCAAAAATGTCTTTCCACAAACTCATGACGTCACTGTCTTTTGTTCTTTCCACAATTTTTTCATTTAACAATCGAATTTGTTCTTCGTTAAAGTGATTTTTCCAATCGCCAGCGATCCCTTTTCTGACCAGAGTCCCGCCTTTTGTATCTTTTCCTGTTTTATTTAAATTTTGTAGAAATTTCATCATCCCTGGAGGAAACTTTTTGTTTTGTAGCCACGTTTTGTCTTTTTGAAAAAAAACATCAACGTTATTCTTGCTGTTCTCCTTCATATAATCGAAACTGCTGTAATGAATAATATTTTCTAATATTGTTGGATCACTCAAAATACTTTTTTCGTATTCTTCTCCCATAAATTTGGCAATTTTCAATATTTCTCCTTTAATATCTTTCTTGAGACCTTCGTATGTTACAAAATGAACGTTGTCGTCATTTTTATGTTCGTACCATCCGAGAAGGTGATCAAAATAATCGCCCTATGGTATATTACCATGGAGAAATAGTTCAAAAAATTCTTGAAAACTTAACTCGACTATAGGAAGTGGATGGAATTTTATATGATGATAAAACGAAACGCAACAGTCTCTAGGATTTCTGGTAGTGTAAATATATTTAGAATTTGGAGAAAAAGGAGTAGCAAAAAATGGTAAATGTGTTTTCATGGCTTTCGGTTTAGTCATTTCAATATATTCTCTTCCCATCATTTCTATAAACGGACAACCTAACAGGAAATCTAACGGATCCTCGGATGGTTGACCTTTACGAAAGATTAACGTGACTATATGATGCATCCAAGTTGTTCCACATTTCGGATAACTAACGAGAAATAAATCTCCGAATTTCGCTTTATAATTCATTCCAGATAAAACAGATTCTTCCGAATGATGCAGCGACATACGCATTCCATTCACTTCCTGATAAAGTTTCATCTTCTCCATTACTATAAGTTATTTATAGCATATTATATTAAACAAGTATTAAAATTGAGTAATTATTTAGTACATTTAATATGAAATATTGTACTTACTGCTTTCTCGTACGCTAGTTAAATCAAATGTTCACAACTAGAAAGTGTAACTGAGCGTTAAAATAATAAGAACCAAAATGAATAAATTTAAACTTTTTCTGCTTCTGATAATATTAATCTTCAGACATCAACAAGTAGAATATATCAAAGTTTAGTCTTTTATATCGCAACTGTAACAATACATTAGTTGATAACATCCGATATGCTTTGTTTCATCATTGTATATTTGAGTTTAACGCGATTACAACTTTATAAAGAGTTTTAAATCTAAAAATGTAAACGCCCTTGTTCATAAGTATTGCAATTACAAGTGAACCTTTCAAAGACTTATAAACTAAATACTCAAATGTTCAGAGGCCCTACGTTAAAGCAATCCTACTATGGAAAAAAATTATTTAAAAATTTGTAATGTTACTAATTTATTAATTGCGACGAGGAGTAGGAAAAGAATCAGACACCGCTGGATTAGATTTTCCGGAAGATTTGGAAAAAAGTAGTAAACCTGTAGTAAATCACAACTGAATTTCGCATACATTCTGACATATTTATACGCTTGTGTTACTTTAGTAAATATTGACAAGATCGACACAACGACTTAGGGGAACCATAAGAGTCGATCCGCGTTGATTTGATTAACAATAAACAAGCAATTATTTATTGTGACATGGTCACAATGCCGTTATGCAATTTTTGATCATCGTGTTCTCAGTTGTTTTAGTAGTGTCGTGCTCCTGTATATCAAGATTTTCTCATTAAAAAACAATTTCAATTATAAATTTTGACTTCAAATATTAACCCATAAATTTATGATATCGGTGCCTCCCAATTTATTATTAATCTTATCTTGCAATCTCTTTAATTGATTTTCATTAAAATAATTCTTCCAATCGTTAACAACGCCTTTCCTGATAAAAGGTAATTGCGTTTGTTCGCCCTCTGACCGACTCAAAATTTTCATAGTTTTTATTAGACCGGAAGGTAAATTCTCATTATGAAAAATTTGATCGCCTTTGAAGAACTTAACCATTATTTTATCGACGTGTTCCTTCATATATTCGAAACTGCTATAATAAACGATGTTTTCCATTATTTTCGGATCTTCTATGATGGGTTTTTCATATTCTTCGCCCATAAATCGGGCAATTTTTAATATTTCTTCTCTAATATTTTTTTTTTTAGCTTTTCGTAAGTTACAAAATAGACATTTTTATCATTCCTGTGTTTGTACCATTCAGAAAGATGTTGGAAATAATCTCCAACTCCCACTTTACCGTCTATAAATCTGTCAAAGAAGTCGTCAAAACTCAGATCATTATCTGACTTGATGAATTTTATAAAGTGATAGAAGGAAACACAACAGTCTTTCGGATTTCTAGCTACGTAAATGTATTTTGCTTGTACAGAAAATGGCGTAACACAAAATGGAAAGTTAGTTTTCATAACTTTAGGTTTTGCACTTTCGATATACTCTCTTCCAACAGTTTCTATAAATGGACAACTTAAGACAAAATCGTAAGGATCTAAAGAAACTCGACCCTTTCGCAGAATCAGCGAGACTATTTGATGCATCCAAGTAGTACCACATTTAGGATAAGTGACTATAAACAAGTCTCCGGGTCTCGCTTTATAATTCATAGCCGATCGGATAACGTCTTTGCAAAGTATAGCTGGCATCCGAATTCCATCAACATCTTGATAAAACTTTCTTTCTTCCATTTCTACAAATAGAAAGTTTTTATATTAGCATAAACAATTATTTTGAGAGTAAGATGCGAGTAGTAAAAATAAATTGTCAATGCCAATAACGAGTAATGTTATCATTTAAACTCGATATATGCTACACGATTCCTTCGTCTCTTAACTCCTCGACCATTGATCATTAAAATTTAAGAGTTTGCAATGCTCGGAGCAAAATTGAAAGAAACGGCTAATAAGGAAATAATAATAGAAGAATGGTACGCTCGATACAAAAAACAAGTTGAAAAGGCCAAATTAAATAATAAGAAAGCAGAAAAAGAAAGGATAAAAGAATTTATCTGTCTATATTCAGGCAGAAATCTTAACTGTCTTTATTAATATTTTAAACGTACAGTACTTACCGACAACTTTATATTAGTAGAAATTACAACTATCGTTTACACGAGTTAATTTATCACGAATAGATTTTGTGTTATCAATGACGTCTAATAAGTTCAACAAACTGTCAGATTTATTATCTCTATTCTATATTATTTTATTTCTACGTAATATATTATTTATTAATGACAGATCCGTGAAGATAATATCTAATTATCACAGAACTATTGTAACTTTGTATCGAAACAGTAATGAGATATTACATATAGATATAGTGATGAGTGTAGTGTTGCGTGCCTAGATAAAATCGCATAACATTTACTACAGTTGTAAACACTAATGTATGTATTATAGCACGATTTCGTTCGCTCTGTTTGAAGCTTAATAACTCCTGTGGTTTTTGTCGAAAATTTCTGAAATTTTGCTAAGAGGTCTGTTCATAAGGCGGATTGATACTGTTAAATTTTGGTGGTAAAGGTCGAGGGGTGAGGTGATAAATGGGAGTGGTGTGTATCTCGAGTAGGTTCGGACTTAATGACGATTTTACTCGTTATTAGCATTTACAATTTTTTATTATTATAAAACCCATCTCTACCCTCAAAATTAAGTTTGTTCCATTTTATAATAATTAAAATTATAAAAAATTGTTTAATAAAATATGATAACAGATAGCGCCATCAAAATTTTAAATATTTTCCGGATATATTTTTTTAAATATAAATATATTGTAAAAAATATAATATGCAATTGTTACATTTCTCAATTCGATTATTCAATATTTTTTTATATTCATAAAAATCAATAAATAATAGTAAACTTATACCTATGAATATTTTAAAATAGAGTCAACAGATGGCGCTAGCATCTCTACGCCATTTTGTAATCCAGGTACAATTCGCTGCATCGTACCAATACTTTGACACACCTAAATCGCTTTGTTGTGCCAAATTCGCCCATTTATACATCAATCGACAATGGAAAATTTTATATTATCGTACGATGATGCTTTCTACTAGTTTTGATTACAGTAACAGTAAAATCTGTGAAAATTAATTAACTGTTTCGTGTTTGATTTGTGGATTTTACCATTTAAAGATTCACTTTAATCAGAAATTTTATATTTTTCCTTCTTTTTAATATCTCCGGGCATTCGATTTACACATCTTCATGAATGCGTGTCAGAAAATTGAAGACCCCATATGTGTGTGTATATATATATAAGAAACTGTATGGTTAAAGTATTATAGAGTATTTTAATTATATAATTTTTAATACAGCGAATTTGTTTGGGTTTACTCCCTTCAATATAACGGATAAGTCATACTCAATATAAAGGACTAGAAGCACGTTAATAGACATAAATATGTTTCTTTGTTAACACGCAGTAAATTGTATGAGTAATAAAAAGTTGATTTTTACGTAAGATAAAACTAATATAGGTATTAAAATCCGAATATTTTTAAATGTTTAGGAGTAGGGGATTAAGACCTCCCGGGGCATTTAGGTACATAAGATTTGGGTACCTTTACATAATTCTACGACATCATAAATTAATAACGTCTAATTGTAGCTATAGAATCATTTATAAATTATGATATATAATTGCAACAATAAAATAAAGTGTTTATCATTTAAATATCCATCTAGATGTTGGATAGACGACCGAATCCTCCAGAGAAATAGGCTCTGGAGAATTCAATCGTCAATCAGAATTGAATGCAGACAGTCGAAAATCCCCAAGAATTTTTCGGGAGTCGACTGTCCCCTAACAAAAATCGCCCTTACTCGTGGGCTTGATCGAACCAATAATAACAGAAAGGCCTTCTTAGTGCCCACAGAGGTAAAAGAATCAACGAAACTATAATAAAGACTATCTTTAAATGAAGAAATTACTCATTAATATTTAATAAATAAAATATTTTATTGTTATATAAATAATGTAGATTTCTACACAAGATATTTAATTAAGGATGGATTAAAATTTTAGTTGTGGTGCTCCAATGTGTGACGTTCCCAGATTTCTCACGATGATTCTTGCATGGTTTCCTTTCAATAATCTTACTCCACTGAAAAATATAATTATGAAAATGTTTTAAAAATAAATATTAATTAATCTACATACATAAAGGTAAGATAATAAAATAAATTACTTTTTTCTCACTATTAAATTAAATTAACAAAATAAATATTACCAGTTTCAATAAGACGTTATGATAATTGCCACACTGCTTTGGTGTTTTGAACTGAAAAATGATTACAAAGATAAATAAATAAATATATATATATTTTAATTTTAAAATAAGATATACTTACTGTTTTCTTTAAAAGCTTCTGATGAAGTGCCTAGAAACAAATTATTATTAACGTCATTACGTTTAAAAGTTTCTTAACAGATATACGATATTAAATGTAATTCAATACCTACCATTTGCTGTTTTTTGATACACTAAAATAAAAAATAAATAAAATATTATAAGTACTTTTATACAATTTATTAAATATATTAAAAATCTTTACTGTTATCATTAATTTTTACATTCCTTATACCCTATATTAGGGGTTTATTCTAGTGTCTTATTACAATTTATATCACCACAACGATAGAACAAATGAATAATAGAGAGGGAATTTTGAAGCTAATAAAGATAGGAAATGATCTTGTGAGACAGAGTTTCTAAATAGGGCCAATAAAAATATATAGGATACTTCATAATTCTAAAATTATCGTAGTCTATTCCTATAGATAAAGCGTGGTATTAATTAAGGAGGAAGTGTTTAAACAGACCGCATCCATACCGGTGCAGAAGACTGGATGCATATTGTTAATTATTAAAAAATAATGTTACCGATTTAAAACCGATTTAATAACGATTTAAAACCGGACACTCAGCAACAATAACTATTACTGAGAGATAACGGAAGGAGATATTATGTATTCTTGTCCCAATTTAAAATAACAATATTAACTTATATAAATATTTTGTCGTGGAAGTTATCACGAAACAAAAACAACAATAGTATAAGTAAAACGCATTTTTTACCTATTAAAACAGCTAAAATATTCGCAATAGAACTAATAGAATGGGAAGAATACTGAGGCGATTAAGGCTATGAATATATATAATCTAATATAAAAATCTATAGCATTTGTATAGCTATAATACTCTACAAAGGGGACTAGAAATGCTTTTGTTACTAATAATATTTAAACAAAACTAATAATATTTTTTAAAATGTCATTAATTATAACTTAAATTATGAATTAATAACCTTTTTTTATATAATTTAATACAATTTAATTTAAAAAAAAAAAGAAATTATTTACCTGTTGAGTATATTGAACACACTGCAAAAATGAAAGATAAAAAGACTTTTAAAACTTATTAAAAGGTAATAAATTATTTAAATATTAATTTTACTTATTGTTAAAATGTAAAAATGTTACATAAATTAAGTAATTATTTATCATAAAAATAATATATCATTAAGCTTACGTTTTCATCCCCCTGACATTCCTATAAAATTAAAATAAATTATATTTAATTTTAAGCTAATAAAGAGAATTATTAAGTGATTTAAAATTAAAATTTTAATGTAAAAGTATAATTTATAAGACTTTTTACTTACTGAAAGAATGACTTTATTCTAAAAATGTAAGAAGAAATAAAAAAATTCCAATTAAAAATTATATGTTTAAACAAATATATTATATAAATTAAATAATAAAAAACAATACTTACTCTTAATATTTTCTCATCCTAGAATTATAAATTAAATAAGAAAAATAAATTAATAATATTTTTACTTAAAATAAACGTAAAATAATAATAAAAATGAACACTTACATCTTTATACTGAAACATCTTTCTAACGAAACATTGCTTAAAACCCTAAAAAAATATTATTAAGAATCGTTTTAAAATTAATAATTAATTAACTATTATTATAATAAAAACATTAATAATTACATTATTAAAATTTCCTTTATGTAAATTCTGTTCGCAGCAATTAATTATAAAGTTTTTCTTCACATCCCAATTGATAGGTTTTGCCTGGAGATAGAAAGTTATATCTAAGTTACTACTNTATACTTACTGTTTTCTTTAAAAGCTTCTGATGAAGTGCCTAGAAACAAATTATTATTAACGTCATTACGTTTAAAAGTTTCTTAACAGATATACGATATTAAATGTAATTCAATACCTACCATTTGCTGTTTTTTGATACACTAAAATAAAAAATAAATAAAATATTATAAGTACTTTTATACAATTTATTAAATATATTAAAAATCTTTACTGTTATCATTAATTTTTACATTCCTTATACCCTATATTAGGGGTTTATTCTAGTGTCTTATTACAATTTATATCACCACAACGATAGAACAAATGAATAATAGAGAGGGAATTTTGAAGCTAATAAAGATAGGAAATGATCTTGTGAGACAGAGTTTCTAAATAGGGCCAATAAAAATATATAGGATACTTCATAATTCTAAAATTATCGTAGTCTATTCCTATAGATAAAGCGTGGTATTAATTAAGGAGGAAGTGTTTAAACAGACCGCATCCATACCGGTGCAGAAGACTGGATGCATATTGTTAATTATTGAAAAATAATGTTACCGGAGTATCGATTTAAAACAGGACACTCAGTAACAATAATTATTACTGATAGATAACGGAAGGAGATATTATGTATTCTTGTCCCAATTTAAAATAACAATATTAACTTATATAAATATTTTGTCGTGGAAGTTATCACGAAACAAAAACAACAATAGTATAAGTAAAACGCATTTTTTACCTATTAAAACAGCTAAAATATTCGCAATAGAACTAATAGAATGGGAAGAATACTGAGGCGATTAAGGCTATGAATATATATAATCTAATATAAAAATCTATAGCATTTGTATAGCTATAATACTCTACAAAGGGGACTAGAAATGCTTTTGTTACTAATAATATTTAAACAAAACTAATAATATTTTTTAAAATGTCATTAATTATAACTTAAATTATGAATTAATAACCTTTTTTTATATAATTTAATACAATTTAATTTAAAAAAAAAAAGAAATTATTTACCTGTTGAGTATATTGAACACACTGCAAAAATGAAAGATAAAAAGACTTTTAAAACTTATTAAAAGGTAATAAATTATTTAAATATTAATTTTACTTATTGTTAAAATGTAAAAATGTTACATAAATTAAGTAATTATTTATCATAAAAATAATATATCATTAAGCTTACGTTTTCATCCCCCTGACATTCCTATAAAATTAAAATAAATTATATTTAATTTTAAGCTAATAAAGAGAATTATTAAGTGATTTAAAATTAAAATTTTAATGTAAAAGTATAATTTATAAGACTTTTTACTTACTGAAAGAATGACTTTATTCTAAAAATGTAAGAAGAAATAAAAAAATTCCAATTAAAAATTATATGTTTAAACAAATATATTATATAAATTAAATAATAAAAAACAATACTTACTCTTAATATTTTCTCATCCTAGAATTATAAATTAAATAAGAAAAATAAATTAATAATATTTTTACTTAAAATAAACGTAAAATAATAATAAAAATGAACACTTACATCTTTATACTGAAACATCTTTCTAACGAAACATTGCTTAAAACCCTAAAAAAATATTATTAAGAATCGTTTTAAAATTAATAATTAATTAACTATTATTATAATAAAAACATTAATAATTACATTATTAAAATTTCCTTTATGTAAATTCTGTTCGCAGCAATTAATTATAAAGTTTTTCTTCACATCCCAATTGATAGGTTTTGCCTGGAGATAGAAAGTTATACCTAAGTTACTACTGAAAATTATGTTATTATTATTTTATGGTTAAAATTATAATGTAAAATGTTATTTAGGTGGATTTAAAACTTACGGAATTAACAACAGTCCACAGCATAAGGCATAAGTAAAATGTAGTAGCGAGGATTGTCTGTAGAGCCATTGTCTTCTGCAACGGACGAAACTTCACACAATTATGGATTATTTTAACTGTCAATTGCTTATTTATACTAGCGAACATGCGCGTTACGATTTATTTAACACGTTTTCTCCTTAATCTTTTACGTTAATCATTACTCATCTAGGAAGTGTAACGGTCAGGAGAAACCAAATACAGTAAAGTATTTACTCCACTGACGGGAGATTTGACGAACTCCATTGGTCCAATTGTCTACGTGTCGAAATATAAACAAGACTTTGCCAAAAAGTAAATAAATAAATCACTTCGTACGTCACTTTTACTATAACTCCATTGAAAAAAATAGAAAAGTGGAAAAAAACTGCAATGTCATTCACGATTTCTCAACTGTAAAAAGTTCTATGAAAATCCTAGTCAAACGAGGCATTAGTTTGGAGTTTTAATACCAAGTCCACCCCCCTATAACACTGTTGATTTTTCCGTTTTATATGAATTCCATGTTGTACGAGTCACTTAGATTTTACAAATACGTGTGACGGGCTGTGAACGGCTCACGTATTTGTAAAATCTAAGTGACTCGTACAACATGGAATTCATATAAAACGGAAAAATCAACAGTGTTATACGGGGGTCTACTTAATAAGGCATTAATGCCCTACGCTACTAGTCTTTCTCTGGTATAATAACGGAATTCTAACGTATGAAAGAACGTAAAGAATATGATAAGAATAAATATTTGTTCTTTCCTATTATTGTTTTGTATAAATTTAAATGGAAACAGGATTTAGATAAAATGTTTTCTTCATATTCATTATTCTGTTTAACTAGAATCTGTCCAACTTAATCTTTCTGTAAACATTAAACAATTTACATCTAACTTTCATAACAGTAATTGAAGACTTTATACAATTAAAATTCTTTATAAAAGTTCACTGTACAATAAAAATAAATATATAGGCTATATTTTTACCTTACATTTTACAATTAAAGTGGGATTATTAATAACATTAACATACGATAATTTAATTAATGTTATATGTAAGAAGAGATCATATTTTTATTATAATTTATAGCAAAAATAACCCGGATCTTTCTATTCAAATATTATAACAGTTAAAAAAATATACAGTAGTAATTTTATAATATAATACGACAATAAATTCCTTTACAATAAATACAGGAAGACAGTTTAAAATATATTAAATAAACTATAAATAATTGTTTTACATATTAATTCTATAAGCCTATATAAGTTTGTAATGGGATATATTTCGAGTATATAGAACAGTGGGATAGATTTTCAATGTTAATTTCTTCAATTAAAACACGATAATATTTAGATTTTACAAATTAAAGTTAAGACAGGAAATTCATCAAAATCACTTTGTAATTCTGTTTTTATTTATTTACTCGGTGACAGGGCGAAGTTCCGAACCAGTTAGAGCTTCGTGGGGCCCAGTGTGGAAATTGAATTATGGGGCCCCGTGTACCGTACGGTGGGAGGAAATATGTTTAGTTTGGGGTTCCCTGTCGGTGGGGCTCCCAGGCCCATTGACTTTTTCGCTAGTGTTTTGAACGGTTATTGAACACAACCCCCCAAAATTTAACAGTAATTTAATATTAAATGTACATTCGAAACAATTAAAAGTATACAAATAAAATTTGGAATTATATATTTTCCAGGATTTACAAGTATATATATTTGAATTTACATAACTATGGTTCTAGAAGGCGCATCTGAAACATGCCACGGGTGCCACATTTCTGATCTCTTGTGTAGGATATAGTTTATATATGTTAATTTTATGGTATTTTAATTATGCTTTTATATAATGTAGAAAATAAGGGAGACTGTAAAAAAGTAAAATTTTTAATGGTGTATATATGTCAGTTGTAAGAGTTGTAGAATTAACACCCAGCTGAGGAGGACAACATTGTTTTTTGTTCTCAAAATGCATACTTGTCTTTTGCATGTTGCCAAGTTTAATTGTTAAATAAACATAGGCTAGTATATGATAAGTTGGTTGTGTTTGAACCAAATGTTTATTTGGTTATCTAAAATACAGACAAAAGGCATTTGATATATGCATGTATATTGTACTACAGTATACGAAAAGTTAAAAAGTGATCATTTCTCTCCATACATGTTTTTTTTTATTAATTTCTAAATTTTATATATATAATATATAACTTAATCAACACCTGATCACTCGCTGAGAGATTTATTAATAAAACAAACATTTTCAATCCAATCAATGGCTCATCCTCAGGTTATATAGAACATTTCAAAAAATAGAATAGGTTCTATTTTTTGAAATGTTGAGTATGCTTCGGTTGTTTATATATAATATATATTATNCATTAAGATTTATTTATTTGTGTCTTGTTAGTAGATACTTCGATTGATAAAACACTTTAGAACTAAATATACCCGTAGATAAAATTTTAGAATATTTTTATAGACGTAAATATGCGGTTTGTGAAACGTTCGTTGTTTGTTCTGTAACTCAAGAAGAAAAAAAGAAATGCACTTGAAGTTTAAAGGTCACTCCCTTTTAGAACTTTCATACTCTTCAATGAGTTTTATTTATAAATATGTGGAATTTTAATTGCTACCTTATATAGTTTCCGGATATTTCTCACATTATCAATTAAATCTTTCAATTTTTATTATATTTTTTAAATAAATATTACGAAACTCTTCGAATTTACAGAGCTAAACGTATTTGTAACAATCGATACACGTGTTTTTTTTACGCGTAAAATTAAGTACATAAGCCGGCATTCGGGACTGATCTAGAGGAGAAAACCATTTAAAACAAATAAAAATTTTCTTTTAATTAATTTGCAGCCATTCGGACTAACTTATTTACGTTATTAGCGAGGTTGCGGCGAAGTTTTCATCTCTTAAACGTGAACGTCGAACGTCGAGCGCCGCTTACGAGATAGCGGCGCTCGACGTTCGACGTTCACGTTTAAGAGAAGAAAACTTCGGCCGCAACTTCTGTATTAAATCAATTTATAAGGTTAAATTTATTTATTTTTTTACTTGTTAGCTGCCCCTTTGTTGAAATTCCTACATCGTCTCTGGCTGGCGTAGTTACAATTGAAATAATATTCATTATAGAGCCCAACAATGACCAAGTGGATAAAATAATAAACATAGTCGTGGGTTCGGTGCTGGCCACGTGCAATTTGCACGTACGTAACACGTAAATGGGGGCCAGTTTCCATAGAAAGTCCTCCAGGGTGGCACCCCCATCTCGACGGGTCGCCTTGTAAACAAACATATGTTCGATTTTTGGTTTATATTATACTAATTAAATAAAGTTAATTGTATTTAAAATAGTTTTTTTTTTAATATTTATAAAAGAATATTTGAATTTTTAGTTTAAAAAAATATAGTCGTACGAAAGGTATTTGTAGGAGGGAGCAGCGGATGTAATTCAAAGAAAGGAAATGACGTATTTTGTATTTAACAAATTCTGAAATACAGTTTACGTGTAAGGTCGAACCTGCAACAACGACCACCCGTAAATGGCGGCCATTTTTTTAAAGAACGTTTGTTATAAAGTGCGTACGAAATAACCTGTAAATAGTGGCTATTTTTTATGTTAGCGCCAGTGTCCGTTGTTTAGAGGTTTGCTGTACGTACAGCAAACCTCTTAACAACTGCCTTTTTTCAAAAAAATATATTCTAAAAAATATGTACGGCGTGGTTCAAGTATGTTTCGTGTTGTATGTTCGAGGTGCATGCGTTCTTGTGTTAGAAACGTGACTTAAAAGTTTTATATAAGCATTTAAGTATTTGAATATAAAAATAAACTTAATCTCTACAGTGTTATATATAGGCCTATATATATAATAAAATTGGAAAAAGTTTTATTGTATATTTGTTTGAAATTTTTACAATAAATGACCATGAAAACTTCCTTTAGGAAATGTTTTACTATTAAATTTTACTATTCTATAGACTTGTGACAAAACACTTTTTTTTTTTTAATCTCTTTCTTCTTTTGTCAATTTTTGGGAACAATTTAACAACAGAATTAAGCTTCTTATACAGTAAAACCTGTCCAAAACGGAGCCCGAATAAAAAGGAAACCTGCCTAAACGGAAAAAAAATATTCGGTACCGTGCGATTCCGGTTTATAAGGGTTTTACTGTATTTATATTTTGATATTTCCCATTAAAATTTAGATAAAACTGTTCTACGAAAACCGAAACTTCCTTGTTGAAACTTAAAGTATTTGTAAATAGTTACGCAAAAATTCAAATATTTTGTAAGAAAATAATGTTAAAATTACGATAATTTTTTGTTGAATTGGAACCTGAATTAAACGGAAACTTACCTTATTTGTTACAGTTTACACAGGTTTTTTTATGTTACAAACTTGTATAAACCGGAATTCCATCATACCGTTTTCTCTTATAGGCAGGTTTCCGTTTTAGACAGGTTTTATTATAGTCGGTATTTTATTATAAATTATTTAAAGCTACTAAACAATAGAATATTTAGGAAGAAGGTAAATAAAGGGGATGCTTTTAAATTTAAGTCATTCATGTTTTTATATTTATGCACTTAATACACAGGTTGTACGATTGAAGTAGAGATTTGACGATATTAAACAGGATTTAAACTTTTAAAAACGCATTATCAAATTGGTTTTAACCTTGACGTTAACATAAACACAGGATGGGAACACCCAATTCAGGTCTTCTAATTAAATTTTCTTTCAAAAGTTTACCTATATAAAGCCCATTTACTGTACAAAATCCATCGTTACCGAAGTTTCCAAAATGTACAGTAAAATGTATCATTTTACTTTACTCGCTTTACTCGCTTTAATATGCAATAACTGTAAGATTTAATATACGAAATCTTTTAATAATTACATAGATTATATTAAAATTTAAACGATATATTTGATATTTGGCTCTGTTAGATGCGGATGAGGATGCTTGCTTGGATATGACGGAAAGAAGTTGCCTTCAGGAGAAAATGAAAAATGTCAATGTAAGTACTTCTTTTTGTATAAAATTTAAATTATTTTAAACGTTAAATAATATAATTCAGTTTTAAAAAAACGACGATTATTTATTTAGATAAAACAGTTAGAAAGTGACTTCGATATTTGTTGCACCGGAAATCTTGGAATCAAAACTGTAAAATATATTTTATGTTGTGTATAATTATTAAATCTTATGCGTAAAATTTTAAATTTATTTATTATTTTCAGTTAATGTGCTTGAAAGAAAAGAGGAACGATGTAAGTTTTATAAAATAATTAACATATTATTATACACGTTATAACAATAGTCAACCCTTCTATAACACTGTTGATTTTTCCGTTTTATATGAATTTTATGTTGTACGAGTCACTTAAATTTTACAAATACGTGAGCCGTTCACAGCCCGGCACACGTATTTGTAAAATCTAAGTGACTCGTACAACACGGAATTCATATAAAACGGAAAAATCAACAGTGTTATAGGGGGGTCGACTGTATTAACATCAAGCTACAATGGTAATATTGGGGGGTACTGTTTTAGACTTTCGGTGATTGCGTCAATATTACAGAAAAATGGGAGTGTTTTATGAAGAAAATGATGGCGAACGTAAGTATAAAGTTGTTTCTGAAAGTATATATTTAAAAATCTTTGCATTTCTTACTTATCTTTACAATACAATCCATTATCTAACTCTACTATCATCTCCTTTCTACATCATTTATCAGTTGATCACTACATCTACAGCCAGGTCTTATGTCTGTTAACCTTAATCCATACATTCTAATTAATAATTTCTGCAATAATTAATCAGTAGAACACACTCCTTGTATCTATATGATAAATACAAGGAGTTAATGGATGCAAGTGTTTCATCCATTGCTCTTCCCTCTCTTCTCTTCCTCTTCCCTATTTTATTCAAGAGTTATATATTAATTTAAATAAATTAATTATATTAATTACAGGAAGAGATTAAAGGAATGTTAAAAGACTTAATGGTAATTAAACTTTATCATGCGTTTGAATAAGATTTTTACAGGATTAATCATATTAAATCTTCGTAATTATTTACAGGACATGAAAGAATGTAAAGACTTCAAGACGAAAATAAAGGTAAATATTAGCTTTAAAATATAATTATAATGCTAGATTATACATCTTGAACGTGAGAAAATGTATATAAAGAATGTCTAAAAGTCAATTAACCGTGTATTTTATAGGTAATTTATTAATGAATGGAAGAAAAATGAATTCATTCTGAATAATTCTACAATATTTTTATAGGAAATGACCAAGAAAATGTGCGAGAATTCCGACAACGATTCCGATGTAGAATTTATCTGCAACAATATGCCTAAGGAGTAGGCTGAAAATATTCTTTTATATTCAAATTTTATATATATATTCCGTTAAGTTTTAATTCATTTGTTAACGTCACAAATTATATAATAAATATTATACTTCTGCACGGAAATAACTGTTTTCTGTCGTAATTTTAAAGATTTAAATAATTCGTGGGATCAAAATAATTCTCATTTGACGTCATTTTGCCTCTGAAGACAATAGAAATCATATAAATTTTCAGATATAGGAGCGATAACTTATAATTTCTATGAGTTTTAGTGTCTTAATAATGAGAAATTATGCAAAAAAATCCGCAAAATTATTACAAAAAATTTTTCAAATTAACTCTATCTGACATTTTATTATATAGAAAATAAATAAACTATAAGATAATGTCACTCCTTTCTAGAATTTGATTGCATTGACATGTTACAGGAAGACGGAAGCGTGTTTTATAATTTCTTAAAACACCGACATTATCTTTACTAAAAATAAATATTGTAGAGACTTTAACGTTTTGAAATCTTCACAAAAATACAATAAAAATAAACCGAAAAATTATATTTTAACCTAAAATAAGAGAGAAAAGAAAATCCCAATAATAAAGGCCCTTTACAACATTCTAAGTGTTTTATAGGTGTTCGAAACAATAGGAACATCCTCGGGCCACATTCATTAAACGATGAATTAATTTATTGTACGTATTTATGTAAAGAATGTTTCTAGTTTAGATGTAATTTACCGCATCAATTCTTTGTTATTACTTTCTCAAACATACTCAAGATGAAATGTAAGCTATTTCTTTGTTCTTTGTATTATAGTGTGCCATATATAGCACATTATTATATACTGTAAACACATTTTTTTAAATATATTTCGTAGCGACGTAGCTACAGACAGACGGTCGCTAACTACACTTGTCACGGTGTATGATTTTATCGATATAAACGATTATCTATACTGGCAAATAATTTATGAACGATAATAAGTGTACGGGGATTAACTTTATATTTTTATTTGTAATAAATGTTAGAGATTTGATAATTAATTTCTTTTTATAACAGGGAATAAGAGTGATGTTTAGGTTAAATGCCGAGTAAAAAAAAAACTTCTCCTTCTTTTTACTTCTTTGAAAAATTAAAAAATAATTTAATCAACGACTTTGTTATTATTTGATCGATTGTTTAAGTCGTTTATTTTTATTTATCTAACCAAAATAAATAATAAATTATTGACGAAAATAAAAATGGAAGCGACTTGAAAATGACGCTTTCACGTGTACCGGATGCAACACATTACTTATTAACCTATTGTCAAATTAGGAGATTCTGCAAACAGTTATATTATAATTATTTTGAATGGGCTCTTTTTTAAAATTTCATCATTTTTTTAATTTTTGCCAATGGAGAAGGAGGTAATCACTAAGTGAAAAAATTGCCGCATCAGCACACCTCCCTCACGAAAGTTGCGTGCATCTATTATCAGAATTTTAAAAAAATTAACCTCAGTGTATTATTTAAAAAATTGAGGTGTGTGGGGCATCATAAATTACACAAGGAGCTTTCAAACTCTTTGATTCCTCGTCGAATCAGCACTCCCACAAGGGGTGCGCATATACTTTTCGTTTCGGATGGATCGATCTGTAAGATCGGATCAGTCTTTGTAACGTTATAGCCTACAGATCGCTTCTCTCGTGCGTTTTAGTTGGCGGAAAGTATACAAGTAGGATCCAATCGTATTTACCCTGTGAATGAAATTTGTGGCAAAACAGAAAAATGGGAGAGCGCAGGCCACGCCCTCCCGCCTTATAAAAATTATATGGTATTCAACCTTTCTGTATTTCGGTATTTATTTATTGAGAAATTAAATACGCTGTACTCATTCTAATTTTAAAACACTAAACTTTACTCAATATCGAAGAAAGGATTCTGTAAACAGGAAAAACAAGTAAAGAAATATTATATTATTTCTTGAAAAGTTATTTTTACTTCAGAAGGATGTTTTCATTCCAAGTTTTATGTTTGAGTAAGGCCAATATAGATTTATAGAAATATACGAAGATATAAAGATTATTCCTGTGATAAAATTTATCTAAAAAACTGTATAAATAACTGATATATTGTGCTATTTTATGATAAAAACCAAAGATGATTATCGTGACATCATCATAATATTATGTTGCAAATTTTTATCATAATTTAAATTTAAAAATCGCGTGACTTCCGGTCAAAACCGGAAGTTCGTATATAGTTAAGCAATATTTATGTAACTCCATTCTTTAGATAAAGAAAGGAAGGACGTACAGACGGACTGACGACAATGGGAATCCGTAGGTCTGCACTTTGAAGATTGCAGTCCAATTAAAATCAATTAATGTACAGTACATTCATATACTCACGACAATGGTTCTCAAATAGAAATGCAAGTTAATAAAATTAAATCAATATAAAAAATAAAATTATATCTGAATTAATTACAAAACAATGATATATACATAATTACAAAATTCAATTTAAAAAAAAATAATTATAATTAAGTGCATAAAATTATTACTTTAATCGTGTGTCACGCCATCTGTTATTAAATTCTTTCATTTTTTCTATGAACATTTATTAAACGTTTAATTAACACGAACTTTTAAATCTAAAAATTTAGAAAATTCTGAACTTTGATAATCATTTTACATGCTAATTTCATGAACATATAAAAAGAAACGTAATTCTCTTAATATTATAATTATAGATCTTTCTATAATAATTTGCAATTCCAATCATTTAACGAGGGATTGTGACTCATTTTAAATTTATTGATTAAGATACTTCAGGCTCTTCGTTTCATTCTTTAATCACAGTATTTATAATTGAACTGCAATTTGAAAAAATTCTACACCTATAAATTCCCACTATCGGGCTGTGTCTGTCCTTTCTTAATACCGAGAACATAGTTAGATAGAAGAAAATCGAGAACAGATATGGAAAACTTAGGGGTGGGGCTGAAAACCCTGAATAACTATATAAGAGCTTCCGATAAAAACCGGAAGTCACGTTACTTCAATTCAAATATTTTTCCCTGACAGGAATTAGATAAATGACCGGCACGACTTTATTGCTAGCAGGAAAAGTATGATGTACGGGAGCAAGACACTACAGAACTAGTTTGAGGTGGAGAGCATATATTTTAAATGAAATAAATTAAAAATATGATTAAAAACTGCAGCCCGGCATTGTGACGATGTCACAACAAATTGTTCGTTAAAAAATAACTTTTATATTATTATTTATTATAAAAAGACAAAAGGCTTAACTTTAAATGCAGAGGTGACTATAAAAATCCAGCAAAGAATTGCTTAACTTTCCCCGGCAACATTTGGTGGCGCCATATGTTATCATATCTTATTTACTAAAAACTTTTTATATTTTTAACTATTATAAAATGGCAGAAAACTTAATTTTGAGGATAGAGATGGATTGTATAAAAATAATTCTAAACGCTAATAACGAGTAAAATCGTCATTAAGCCATGCCCTTTTGGAGATGCACACGACCCCCTTTATCTCCCCACCACCTCGATCTTTAATCACCAAAATTTAATAGCATCAAACCCCGTAATTCATAAACCTCCCTGCAAAACTTCAGAAATTTTCGACGAAAAGCACAGGAATTATTAAGCTTTAAAGAGGGTGAACATAATCGTGCCCCTCGTACACACGAACACACAGAGAAATTACCCACGATTATTTTTAAGTGTCCCGAGTCCAAAAATGTAAAAATCTGGGGAAGTAATTTTTTTGACCGATCGCCATATTATCCTTCTGTTATATATAACAACCCGGAAACTAGAATAACATTAAAACATCCACAAGAAAATTTTTTCAGGTTTCCGGGAACGAATCCGCATACGACTTATACCATAAATAGACCTATTTCATTGATAATCTGTCTAGTTTATGTAGAACTTCGTCTCTCATTTCGTCTATTGTGGGCCCGGCCAAACCAACCACGGGCATAAAAACGGCCCTATTATCTCGTACAGAACGAAAAGAGTTAAAAACCAAAAAAATATATTTAAATACGAATATCATTTATTTGAAAATATTGTTGAAATTACGAAGCCAGACAACAAAGTTATTGTATATCGAATGTTTATCGAAATATTAATTAAATTAATATAATAAAGCGTGCCAGTAAATTAAATAAATAAATACACGTTGTTCATAATAAGAAATAATTATACAATTCACGTAATTAGAATAATTAATATTCAATTCCTAAAAGGAATTGAAAAGTGGTTGAATACAATATGTATTATACCATAATGAATAATAATAATAAAGCAATTATTATAAATTTTGTATTGATAACAATTGAACACAAGAATGTATTCAATTAATATTTTTTAGTAGAGTTTCACGAAATAGTATTAAAAATATCTCCTACACGCATGATAAAATTTGATTATTTAGCTGTTCTGACTTAATTGAATTCCTTTGTATTCAGTATTTTTCTAACATCAAACTATTATTTACCTTTTAAGAAGATTCGTGCGTTAAAATTTCCTTTTTCCTTGTCTATTTCGCAAAAGTGAGAGAGAAAAAAAGATATAAATTCATAATGTAAACGTTACGATTTATAAATTTTCTCACTTATTCGACAAAAATTTATATATAAATACTCTTGTGTACGGCATTAAATAAACACGAAACTTTAAAAGGAAATTAATAAAAAAATGTAACGGAATTTTACGTTTAGTTACAGGAATTTTATTTCGTGCACGAAATTAAACAATTTTCGACCTTCATCGAATTGCGTGGATTAGAAAATACGTCGGTTGGCTTTCACGCAACATATAATTTGACATTCTTCCAAATCCTATACAATTCTTTCACAGCGTTTTCCTATATAAACTCTCCGCACTCGCTAGCGATTTACACCGATACCAAGCATTCAGTGGTAAAATGAAGTATTTAGCAGTTTTAGCTTTCGTCGCATTATTTTACGTTTGTAGTAAGTATTTGCGATATTTTACTTTCTTATAATTTAATACGATTAAAATTAATCTTTCTTTAAACGTTAGATTGCGAGGGTGAGTGTTTCAATGAGGAAACTAAAAAATGTATTAAAGATAAACTTGACGAGTTGACTGTATGTTAAAGAATTTTCTTTTAATTATATACGATATATTTAAACGAATATAGAAAATAATTTCTTTTATTATTATAGGCGGAACGAAAACAAGAAATTAAAGATAAAGCCGTAAAGTGTTGCAATGACAATAAAGATGATGAAAGAGTAACTAATCATAAATTAAATATATTTAATAAACAGCAATTACTTAACGTTATTTTAAAATAAATTAATTATTTATTAAGATATAACAATGTTATTTATATTCTTTAAGAATATTTATAAATTTTAATTAATTAATAAATTACTTTATTTTTAGCTTGGATGCATTATAAAGCAGATGAAAGTAAGAATACACTTTTTTCGAAATGCTAAATTCCTTATTTTTATTAACACTTAAGTTCTGCAGGCTACGTGAAGCTTTCGATGGTTTCTAGGGGCCCTTCGGCCACTCATATGGCACGTTGGAGAAATGGATACAGTCGACCCCCCTATAACACTGTTGATAATTCCGTTTTATATGAATTCCATGTTGTACGAATCACTTAGATTTTACAAATACGTGAGACGTTCACAGCCCGACACACGTATTTCTAAAATTTAAGTGATTCGTACAATATGGAATTCATATAAAACGGAATTATCAACAGTGTTATAGGGGGGTCGAGTGGTATTATAAAACGACGGAGAAATTATATACTATAAATAATAATCGGTTAGAGATGAATTATCATACATCGGGGATGGCAAACCGTTTTAAGTCCGCGTGCCATATAGTAGACATAATTATCTTTCAAATAATTTATTCGTACCGAAGTTTTAGAATTCGAATAACTATTTTTAAAGAAATGAAGCGAGTATACTTTAATTAAAATAAATTTTTAAAAAAACTGATTGAGAAAATGATGATATATTCAGCCGAAAACGTAAAGCAATAACGAACGTTCGCGCCACTTTGGGCAAGCGTGTCGTAGGTTTGCCACCCGTGTCATATGTTTTTTAAATAATACATAAAAAAAAATAAAGGAAACTTCAATTTAGAATTATAATTTATTTAAAATAATAATTTCTAATATAAATAAAAAAATTAAAATAATGCGTGATACAGTAATAATGACTAATTAATTAACGATTGAATTTCAGGATAGTAACATTTTGGACTGTATCAACAAAGAGACGAAAAAGTGCTTATTGAAAAAAATCAAAAATAGCGTAAATAACTTTAATAATTTAATACGAATTTTTCATCAAGACATCAATTGTTAATTTTTAATATATTTTTTTCTTTTTAGGAAACGTTTAAGGACATAGTGAACGATTACGTAATTAAAACTATTAAATATTACATATAAAAATAAACATATAAAACTTTAAAATTAAATAAAATTTATCATTTTTTCCAGAAAAATACCGATGATTGCGATGGTGTGGTCGAACAAATAATGGTATTTCATTTAAAAATTTCTTGTACATAATAAAAATAATTTGTTTATATAATTTATTTAAGAGTTTGATTATTGCAAAAGATCTTAATTTACAGCGGGAGATAATTTAAATCGTATATAATTTTAAAATAGAAATTATTTTCTGTTTTACAGAAAAAAATGGATGATAAATGTTCCAATGACTCCGGTGACGATAAAGATTTCACATTCGCATGCGAATGCAAAGAAATGTTTTTCCAACAGTGAAAGTGATACCGAATCATTGTTAAGTTTCTGTTTGAAATTTGTAATTATATAAAATGTTTATTAAAATATAAGGAGCATTATCTGATTGCTGTTATTGATTAAAAACTATCGCCGGTTAAACATCATCTTACCGCTCTGGGGGGACACGGGATTGAATCCGGACGGACCAAACCCCCAGGAATTTCTCGGGAATGGTCCTACCGGATATACGAAGGCCGTTTCTTTTATAACCCCCGATGGTATATAAAACAAAGACAAATGTAAATAACAATATGGATTTATTACCAAAAGTTAGGTAAGAAGTGGAAGTCGCTCGGTGATAAATCGGGGCTATACTCGAGGTGTTTAAAACGTTCCAAGCAGGGTGGAAGTCTTCACACCTTTAATATGTGAATACTTTCACCTCTTTCCTGAACTGAAAACGTGGTTAAAAGGGCAGAGGTTCGAGACTAATGACGGTCTTCGAAACAACGTTACAGCCCATCTCGAGTCATTGGCGGCAACATTCTATGAAGAGGGATTTCAAAGCTCGTCTACAGATAGACAAATTCATCAATCTTCGCGGTGATTATGTCGAAAAGTAACCGTGTTTGTACCTAACTTTTAGTAATAAATTCATTTTGTTATTTAAACTTGTCTTTGTTTTATGGACCATCGGATGTTGAAAAAAACCACCTACGTATATTCCAATTCAATTTCGTTCCTGCTGAGGAGCTAATTCATATTTTCTAATCTGTTTAAAACGACGTCTGAAATACTAATACTATTTGTTAAAAATGTTCTATATTCAAATAAGTTTTGACTGCTTAAAGTTATATGTTCCATCGGTAAGAAAATTCTGTTCACTTAAAGGTTTTCAATACACTTCTATTAAATTAAATCGATACATAAGCTGCTTTACCGATATAAAAAGTGTTTCAAAGCAAAATAGATAAGAGATTAATAAATAAACAGGTGCGTAGTAGGTTTAGCATATTGCAATAAAGCCTCGATAAATCGAAGTGGCACTAACTACACAATACCACGCCATTATAACCTGGTGTCTTTTTACTAATACAATATGTTACTGGCGTTCGGATTAGGGCATAAAGGAGCTCTTTGATAATGCCATAAACTGCATACAATTTTGTAAACATTTTACGAAGAGATTCTTAAGTAAAAGCTTGTTATCGTGAAATTTACGGCAACAGAAAACTTTGATAAAGACGGTATTAAATTCATTAACTCGGGGTCAGGTTTTTTACTCCTTAAAGTTAGACTGAACGCGGTTTTACTTATTGAGAAAATAACACAACGGATTCCATTATATTTATACAATTGAATAAATAATTTATGGCAGTTGCATTGTTATTTTTGTAAAAGATAAAACTTTATTTAAAAAATGTGAATAACATTTATTATTGTAGAAATTTCTGAAAATTCTAATTTTGGTATGTATTGAAGTATCAGAATATTTTATCATAGCAGCAAAAACATTATAAATTTACCATGTAACTGTTAGATTTTTCATTCAGAATGTGAACAAGCTAGTTTAAACTTTAAAATAATAAATATTTAAACTTACTACTAACAATTATTTATTCATAATCGTGAAATTTGTCAATACAACAGAATCCAGGAAGCTCGACTCTCGATAACTCCACATTCTGTAAAACTGACGTGTCTCATACATATATGTGTGTAATATAATTTTAAAATAAGTTATCGTTATTCACTGGCGACACTTGATAATAGCATCGATCTCGCGTGGTAACACAGAAGACAACCCTTTTTCAAGATGCCACTGAATAGTTACTTTAGTTAAGTTACGGCAATGCAACACTTGGGCGATCTGCCTAGGGGGAATGCTTTCCGGGAGGTCATTTTAAGGGTAACTGCCCTATTCGGGCGTTGCAGACGTGGAGAAAACCCGGAAAAATTCACGTGGCCAGCCCGTCGTGGTGAAGCGCGAACACACGACTATCCGGTTGTGGGTTCGCGCACGTCTGTAACGCCTGAATAGGTGCCAGCTACCCTTAAAAGACCTCCCGGAAGACGAAGTTTCTATGTACTGTACTTTCAAAAGTATTTCCGTTATATATTTTGAACTATATAAAATTATGTGTAATAAATATCACGCATTCTAAAAAATTTATGGACGAATTCTTTTATAAAAATCCTACATTAAATATATATTCTGAGTTTAATATGCCGAATCAGACCATTCTTTACGATTCGAAGAATGTCTGGTCGCAGCCTGTCAAACTTTTCGGCAATTTCACGCCAACTGCTAGTGTCTATTATCAAAATCACCCGAATTCTTCCCTCGTAATTCCGCGCCACGCTTTATCTATAAAAGAAAAACAAATCAACACAACTCCCGTGGTTCCAGACTTAAAACCCTGTACATTCTAAATAACATTTGAAGAAGTATGTGTTCTAATACATGGATCGTTTTATTTAAAAAGAATTTCTTAATTATTGTTTAATCGAATTATTATAAGATTTCATCAATCTTAAACAACGTCTTACAAGAATTAAATACAGTAGACTTTTACTAATCCGGCCAATCCTTGAGCGGGGAATAATGCCGGATTACTGAGCGCACGGGACTAAAGGCAATGAACGACATGGCTCTTCCGTACTGATTCTTTTTGGAGCTGTATTTTCTTATTTTTTGAAATTATGCACAGTAATTGGAAAATTTAATTCCTTATTTTAATGTTAATTTTACAAAGTTTACTGTATGTATTTAAAAAATAATACATATTTATACGAGAAAGATATTTTAATTGGGTCTATTATTAATAAATAATAATACACTAATTTCATATTTAATTTACAGATTTCAACAATTTTATACTTGTTAATATTAAATGCTTAATCAAACTTGTATAATATCCAGCATTCGAAGCATATTTTATTAATTAAATATAAAAAGCCAAATGAATGTGTTGAGGAATTGATTATTTAGCTGTTTCTCTTAACGTTCCCTGATAAAATACAGTTATTTTCATTTCTCTATTCTGGATATTTTTCTAACGTCAAACTATTGTTTAAATTTTAAGAGAATAGAATTTCCTATTTCCGTGTTTATAATTCCAAGAATATAGAATAAAAATTACAGTCAGTTTATGTGATAATAAATTATAATTTCATATATACATTATTTCAAAATACATAAACACATAACTGTAGAGAGTTAAGTTTACCTTTGATTAAAATAAAGAAAACTCGACTTTCTAGAACATATGTTAAAATAATAAAATTTATATAAAATATTATTCTATTATTTTATAGAAACTTCATGAAAAACAAAAGAAAGTATTCAATTTTAACCTTAAAATCTTCTTAAGCATTAAAGGATCCAGAAGTAACCGAAGTGGTCTAACACCTTATAATATTTGAGTAATTATAAGTATCTTTTTTAAATATGTGCATAAAGATTATATATTTGATAACCCATATTTGCCATCATAAATTTTTAAAAAACAAACGTTTCGAACAAATAAATTTTAGTATTTTCTTCTGTCAATAGGAAAAGCTGAATCCACTGTTCCCCGCCATTCTTCCGCCGTTGCTCGCGAGTATAAACAACTTATTTGCATACTCATTATTTAAAACTTGACATCTGCTCGAGTTATATAAAAATTTGCATACAATTTTCCTATATAAACTTTCTTAACCGCCACCAAATTACCATACAGGTTAACGTGTTAGCCATCGACTTCTTATCGTGAGCTCGAGTTCGGAATGAAGATGATGATATCTTTCGTGTTGACTGCCATATTTTTCTCTGGAAGTAAATAATTATTTAATATTTTACGTTTTAAAATTGTATACCAATGATTTTTGACATAACTCTATCTGTTTTTAGTAATAGCTGCAAAAGATAAAGATAAAAAGCAATTCGAAAATTGTCTTAGTGAGAAAAATAAAAAATGCATCGATGAAGTCATCGAAAATGCAAATGTAAGTAAAAACCAAACGTTTCCAGTCGTAAAAATGATTATATAACAATTGATTTTTCTTATTATAGAATGGAACATACCAGAGTCTCAGAGAAAGTATGATAAAATGCTGTAATAATAATGAAAATAATGAAAGAGTAAGTAATATTATTTAAAACAACACATCACGTAATATAACGTATGTATTGTGTTGTATTAATTTGTTGTGTTTAAGTAATATTATTTTAAAAAAAATCAATTTTATCATAATTAGCTTTATACTGAATGGCCGAAAATACCTACCAAGTTTAAACACTTTGAAAAATTATAAGCACAGTCCAAGAAAGAAACTAAGATGTAAATATATCCTGTATTTCAGTCTGTTGGGAAAGTAATCTAAGTCATTATCTGAATATTGCAGAAGGTTTTATATGTCTAAGCATTCAAATTCCTTTCTTCGGACGAACGTACAGTGTACTAGTGGTGGACAGTTCCGGTCGGAACCAACAGTCCCAGTTCTGCTGCTAGAACTGGATCTCCCACTTCTACAGTTTATTGTTGTAAAGCTGGACTTAAATTCTTGCATTGACGTCATTTTACTGCACCCGAGAACATAAATTCGTCTTAAATATCACTATTTATTAACTGCCGGTCCGCATAGAATATTTAGCGCTGCACGAATGTTTTATTACTTTTTTATGTTAGATTACGTGAAACTTAATCTAAGAAATAATAAGAAATTAGGGATGAAAATAGATAATTTTTAATGGTAAAACTCTTATATTTTGACGAATATTGTCTAAAATATAATATTTTATGCTTATACTAAAAATCTTATTATTTTTCTATAGGTTGTATGCTTCTTGCGGAAAATTCAAGTAAGAATATAATTTATTACTTTGATTTCGCATTCGTTAGAATGTAAATTTAGCACCGATAATCGCAAAGTATTAATAGTTTTGTGTTATTTATAACTAATATCTTGCGAATCAACAATAATAAATCATTATCAATATAGGGTCATCGCCAAATTGGTAACTTTTATCTTGCGGCACCCGTACGTCTTTATATACATTGTACAGTACGTATATTTATAATACGTGTACAATGAATATACAATAAGTTTCAATAATACGCGTAGAAGACTTATGGTGCTGCTCTTTACTACTGATACCCTAGTGTGTCCCGGAAGCCCGGTTGAAAAATTTAAGTAAATTTTATGGGCATCTCCTTTTAATTCGATTATTTAAATCTATTCTTCGTTCTAGAATAAAAAAATGCATTTTAATTCTAGAATCGGAGTTCTCAAACGACACTTTTACAGAATGCATACACGTAAAGGGATAGCAACTCGTGTCAGCATCCGTACGAAATGGCCTTAAGGATCTCTTCGTATTTAGGAATTTATATTCTGAAACTGTTCAAAATGGCGGATATTTCGATGATATGATAGTGAGAAAGAAGTTAAAATCTCGGCTCGCTATTGAATAACAAAGAAGTTTAAAATTAATACCATGTAATCTTTTATATTCATAATTTTTATTCCGAAATGTCCGTGGCCATCCAATTTTGTCTGATTTTTCAGTTATTTAATGCACAGGTATGCAAAATAATTGCATCACAGAATTATTTGAATGGATGTAGAATCTCTGCTCTATAAAAACTTATTTAANTGTGTAAAACGGAACCTGAAAAAACGGAAAATAATATACTGTATCTTATATCTCGGCTTTCTGTAAACTTTTGTAGTGATTTCCCCTCCTTTCTCTACTTCTATTGATATATCTAGGAAGCGTATGTTTTGACATGTAATCTTTTATATTCATAATTTTTATTCCGAAATGTCCGTGGCCATCCAATTTTGTCTGATTTTTCAGTTATTTAATGCACAGGTATGCAAAATAATTGCATCACAGAATTATTTGAATGGATGTAGAATCTCTGCTCTATAAAAACTTATTTAAGCATTAATTTTTAATAAAATTTTAAAATGACAAGTATTTAAAGAATTCGATTAATTTCATTTTAGGAATTTGATATTTGGAAGTGCATTCAGAAAAGTTACGATTGCATTTTAAATAAACTGGATATGAATGTAATCATTTTAACACTTTATCAACGTCAATTTTATTTATGAAAAAGCAATGAATAATCTACTTTTCCTTTCTTATTTTCAGCCTGAATTAAATAAACTCTACACAGAATTTGTAAGTCAAACTTTTTATAATTTTTTTTAAATTATATTATAATTTATTAATGTATATATTTTTATTTGTAGAAGGAGACAAAACAATGCGACGAATATATAGATAATCTAAAGGTACAGAAATAATTTTAAAATTTAGATTTTCTCGTTTCAAATAAAATATTTATTTTCGACATTAAAAAAATACATTAAAAAATGAAAATTCAAATATTTTAGACCCTACGAAATGGTAAAGTACGATATTCGACGTTTCAGTGTTTCTTAAGACAATTGAATCAAGAGTTAGCTGCTTATTTTTTTTACTTGTTGGGTTGCAATTTGAAGAAATTGTAGACCTATAAATTCCCAATGTTGTTCGTATTGTTGTCTGTCCTTCCTAAATATCGAGAACACAGTTAGTTAAATGAAAGCCAAGACCATATATAGAAAGCGTAAGGGCAGGAGGCCCCGATTAACTATAGGCAAACGTGATGCATACAAGAAGTCACGTTATTTCAATTTAAAATGGAGTTAGATGAGTGGCACGACTCGATTGCTAAAAGAAAAGTATGATAAACTGGGGCAAGACACTACTAATTTAAGATGGAAAACATATAAAGATAAAAAGCAATTCGAAAATTGTCTTAGTGAGAAAAATAAAAAATGCATCGATGAAGTCATCGAAAATGCAAATGTAAGTAAAAACCAAACGTTTCCAGTCGTAAAAATGATTATATAACAATTGATTTTTCTTATTATAGAATGGAACATACCNGCACGACTCGATTGCTAAAAGAAAAGTATGATAAACTGGGGCAAGACACTACTAATTTAAGATGGAAAACATATATTTTATGTTAAATAAATTGAAAAATATGATTAAAAATTGCAGCCCGGCATTACGAGCCTCGCTTACTTAGCCACCGAGATACACACCAAGTTCCTCCAATTAATAGTGGATCTCGTAGACCCGACGAATGTACAGACGTAGGATATTATATATTTAGAATTAAGGCTGATTGTAAGCTCTTTGGTTGTGCAAGCAATCTCCAGCAGATAGTGTTAAAAATTCAATACTTTTTGGATTCTAACGCATAAAACTGTTTGGTTTATTATGCTTAAATTAAAGTTTAATGCCATCCGGCGGAGATCGCACGTGTAACAAAAGATAGAATATGTTTCATTGTTATGGCTTTATATGAATCAAAGCAATTTGAAATAATTGAAAATGATAAAATACTAATCTATATATTTATTCCACTTTTTTACAGAGTAATTTTGTAGAAAGATTTTGTATAAATTATGAAACCAACGACGGTGATCTGAAATATGCCTGTTCACAGCCGAATTTATTCGCTTAGAAGCTTGTGAATAAAGGAATTTATTCGCTTTTTCTCAACGTATTCAAAAAAATATTGTTAAAATTTTCTCTAAAATTTCTGATAATTTGATGTCTATTATTAAAATTTGAGTTGCATTAACAATGTGTTATGTCTCGTATATAATAATGCAGTTACATACACGAATGATCTTCCAAAGATTGAATTCTCATTAAACGCTTCCAATCGTAAAATTTATTTTTCTTCATCGGGTGATATTAAAAAACAATCAAGTGTATTGAAAACATATAAATGCAGTTAATTTATACGATGGTTGAATAGTAATTTTACAAGTTTAACTAATTTGTTGTTACTTTTTTATCTTCCCGTGAGCACTAAGAGTGTGGTAAAAAGGTCTTTTTAATCATATCCATCATGGGTTCGACCAAGCACACAATAGAGGCAGCCGAGTGGCCCTTACCACTCGGCTGCCTCTACACATATAGACGGACAATTCCACGAAAAAATCATTAATTTATCGAATTAGATTAAATAATTAAGATATTTTAAAGATTTGAGTATTTACTCGGAAACATTCCACGTGAAACGTTCATCTCACCTCATAAATTCAATATTATCGTTGTCGGCATTTCTCTTCCATGCAACAAATCTCCTCCATTCTTTAATTAATAAAGTCTGCATTTTCTCCTTTTTATAATGCACAAACTTGAAATCTTCTAAACCTTCAAAAACGTTTAAGATTCGGTTATTTTTTATTACATCCTCTAACGGTTTCGGTCAGTTAATTCACCTTCTTCAGAAAAGAATCGAACAATTCCGATTATTACCGAACGAAACTTATTATGAAACGTTTTTAAACTTTTTTCACCTCTAGTTCGAAAGTCCGTAAATAGATAATTAAAATACAAAGTGATGATAACGTACGAACATAAAATACACTAAATATAAAAACATAAAAATACAAATAATAAAAATAAATAAATAAATAATAATATAACACAACTGATAACATAAAGAAATAGGCACAGTCGTTGCCCGTTAACTGTCCGTGCCGTTTTTCTTAATGATATATTCATATTGCACCCGTTCTCCATGCCGCTGAAACTTTATAGGATTCTCTACAGTTTATCGCTTGTCCTGCTTGATTGTTGTTGTGTATATGCCAAACTTCTGCGTATTTAAGGTGTCTCCTGTCTTGATTCTTTTGTACTGAGTATTACTTCTGCTTATTCCGTTCGTTCCTTTTATGTTCTTTTATTCTCTTTTAATGACCTCTCTGTGGCTCCAATGTAATAAAGCTCTTTTTGCAGCCTTTTATCTTGCATGGATATTTTATAAATTCCAGGAATAAGGCTTTGGTCTGTAGCTTCCTTGTCCGTACGTAGCATCTGGTATATTGTTGTATTCCTTTTGAAGACTATCTTTTTGTTAGTTGCTGCTCCTATTTCTTTGTAAATATTGCTTAAGGGAGCCATGTATTCCATCATTGTGTATTCTATTCCTGCCGTTCATTTACCTCTGCCTTTCTTCTTTTATTGATTATGGCCTTTACCGTATTCCGATTGACTCCGAATCGCCACGCTAGCTCTTTGATGCGATCTAATTCTTTAAATCTGTTCTGCACCTTGCTGCAATGTGTGTACACTCTCTTTATAAACGCCCTGAAAGTTGTCAGTTTATAACTTGTTGGAGGTCTATGGTATTATCAACGACTTATATCTCGGCTTTCTGTAAACTTTTGTAGTGATTTCCCCTCCTTTCTCTACTTCTATTGATATATCTAGGAAGCGTATGTTTTGATTATTCTCTTGCTCGTTAGAATTGAAGTCTCTGAGAATTTGTTGTATGTCTGGTTTTTCTTTCCATATAATCAAGACGTCGTCGACATAGTGTGCATATACTAACATGTGAACTTCGTATTTCTGTATGATGGAGTTCTCTAATGTCCTCAGGATCACCTCGCATAATGCCCCGGATACAGGACTACCCATTGCCACTACTATATGTTGTGTGTATGTTAAATCGTTAAAATTGAAGACAGACGAATATGTAGCTAATTCTAATATCTGCTTTCATAGCTTTTACGCACTTCCGATGTTGCTCAATAAGAAGTCTCTAAGATGGCAAAAATGGCTCAAGTTTGATTGAGGAGTATAAAGTCTTAAAGTCTAGTACCGTCGTATAACCTCCTCCTTTTACTTTCAAATTTTTCATTTTCTGGAGCAATTCTAGCCGCTATTTTAAAAATTTAAGATAGAGTTAATATTAGAAAAAAATATGATAAGAAACTGTACCACTATTAATAATCCTCCTCCCGAAAGAGATGGTCAACAACCGCTCATTAATACCGGTCCACTATTAATAATTAAAACGTGATCCGTGTTAGATAGCCTCGCACACGATGGAAGTTGTTAACCTTAACGTCCGAAAGACTTCATATGATTTGTTTAAATAAATAAAAATTCTTGTAAAAATGCGGTAATAAATGTGTTTATATTTTTGCAACAAACTGTACAAACTACGTGGGAAGTATGTTCTCGTAAAATATCGAGAGGGATACATTCCGAGAAGACTTTTATAGGAAGCTGGACTCTATTTAGGTGTTACTAACGTGAAGAAAACACGGAAAACTGCAGCCCGTTGGCCATGCCACAATCCTCCACTAACTACCAGAGTTCGATGGTTTTACGCTTCGGCTACTGGAAGGCGCTGATTAGAATTCAAAAAGTAGCGTTTAGAAATGAAAAAATCGAGTTGTTCGATGTGAAAAATTAAATTTTTACAGACTTTTCACAGGATAAATCACTTTCGATTCCACGCAGTCGACAACATTACGTCAAATAAGACGAATTCGTACTTATCCGAGTTTTTTTTATTATTAACTGTATTTTAGAATATTTTTTGCGATTTAAATTTAAGAAACCCTTTGTTGACCGGAGTGCCGTTCTGTATGTGCCCCCCCCCCGTTGTTAAGGGTACCGATTAGTAGAAGCCCTGTTAAAAATCGATTTTTATAAAATTTATCGACAACAGATGTCAGCACTTGACGGCAACCTCTCGTCTTTCTTTGAAATTTTCTAATAAATTTATATACGATATTTTTCAATACAAACTAAAGATATTAATAAACGTTTGGGAATTTTTTCATAGAATATAATAATAATTTGATTTTTGGTAAATTTCTGTACTCTAAAACTGTGTCTTTTATCTGTTTTTATCTTCACGACTAGGTGAATAGATAAATTGGGATAAATCGGATAAATTGAGACGGCAATTGCATCGAGGTGAGAGAATCCATAAGATGTGCCATAAGAAGGGAACAACAGAGGAAGAAAGAAGGAACATACACTTAAAAACAAAGATGGAAGGTGAGATACAAAGATATCTCGTTGATATAAATTACTTTAAAGTACACGTCAAAGGAAAAAAGAACACTTAAAACCTTATCTTTACCAAAATCAATTACGAAAGTGATACCTAATAGAAAAATAGAAACAATTAAACTAAAAATATTAAAAGCTGCGATTAAATATATAAATATATTAAATTAAAAAACGAAAAAGAAATTGAAGAAACTAGGCATTAAACAAGACAGTAGCCTAGGAGAACTAGAGCAAGAAAAACTAGATAATTATCAAAATAACAAAAATAAAAGGCTAAATAAAAAGTTTAAGTACCCACAATTTATATAAGTTAACTTAAGAAATGGAAAGATAGCCTCGTATAAACAAAACTGATATAACGTTTTTTGGAATCTTTATAGACACTCTACAGGATGGCCTGAATTTCAATGGCCCAAACCAATGGAATACGTTAGACATTATACCGAACTTACACTTAGATCATGTATGCAACAACATAAAATCATCAGAAAAAGAAGTAAATGAAATCAAAATGGAAATTAGTAATAAGTTAAAAAAAAACACGTAAAAGATGTAAAAGGAAAAAAAAATTACCGAAAAATCTTACATCAAATATACAGATAAAATTGAAAAATTAAGAGCTTTTTAAAAGAAAACGATATAGAAATTATAAAGGCAGACAAATCAAAAGAAGTCATTATAGTACATAAACAATGGACTCAAACAAAAAAATTGAAGAATTACCTATAGATCCAAAAGATGTCATCTATGCGGAACTTAAGAAAAGAGTAAACAAACAGTTTAAAATGAAAAAAAGAAGAAAAACAATTTATACTAGAAAATTGGGCAGAACACCAAAACTGAACATGCAATTGAAGACACACAAACCAGGTGAGCAAGTAAGACCTATAGTAGATTTCAAAAACTCTGTCTTATATAACTTAGAAAAATTCCTAAAACAAAAACTGCAAAAATATGAAATTTCCAAATATACAATAAAAAAATGCAGACGAAGTTATAAATGAAATGAAGAAAACAAAAATAAATAAAAATTACAAAATAGCAAGCTTAGATATAATAAATATGTATCCCTTAATAACCTGGGAACTAATAGAGGACACACTAAGAAAAATTCAAGCACGGGAAGAAGAAATAGACCTAATAGAATTCGCTTACAGGCGTAATTATTTCATCACAAACGGAAAATTGTATACACAAAAAGCAGGAATTAGCATGGGATCAGTTATAGGTCCGAAATTAGCAGAGCTTGTCATAATATACATAGACCAAGAAATCAATAATATCACAGGAATAAAATTTTACAAAAGATATGTAGACGACATAATTATTTTATACGACCAAACAATAGTAAGAATAGAGGAAATAGAACACGGGATAAATAAACTAAATAACGAAATTAAATTTAAGATGGAAAACGAAACCAACACAGAAACAAACTACCTTGATATAGTGAAAAAAGCGAAGAAAAGAAATGCTAGAATTTAAACCAATTAAAGATAAGATCTGTATTTACCGCGTAATGTATACATTATACGCATTTTTTCTTACTTTATAAACAAGCTTTAAATCACTCATTTAGTCGCCATCGCCACTCCATCGGGCAGCTTCGCCACCGATTTCGGGGAAACTTGCCAACATATTATATTCAAAGCCCCTCTTTCTTAACTTCGTGTTGTGTTCACTTGACAAGCCCAGAGTAAGATTACACTCTACTGAGGGGTCCTTAGGCGCGAGGACCAATTGGAAGCAATCCGTCCAATCGGCTTAAGGCCAGCCTGTCATTATATAAAATTCCATCAGAAAGCTATTTTATTTATTTTTCTATAAGTTGATTCTTAATTTTCCATTTTATTCTGTTTAAGATACATTCTACATATCCAGAATCATTTTCCATTTTCGCGTTAGACAGGTTTCCAGCTTACAGTACAATTTAACGAAGAATATCGCTCCATTCTAAATAATCTTTCTCGTTTATTCGGGTTTCGTTTTAGACAGGATTTTACTGTATAGATAATTACAGTAGCAGTAAAAACATGTGTAAAACGGAACCTGAAAAAACGGAAAATAATATACTGTATATAATATACATTATATACATATACTACATTCAAATATATTTATATATATATAAACACGATAAACGAATCCATAAGAAGCGAAAGGTTGTGCGCTACTTAATCAAACTTCATTTATCAATTTTATTATATATTATTATATAACTTTCGACCAATGATGAGAATGGACATTATCTAATCTTGCGATGATTTCTACACTTCGTTAATGACGTCTATTTCTAATGTTTAACACTCAGTTAAACTTTCTATTTGTGAACGTTGGATATAACTGGCATGTGAGAAAGCAGTAAGTACAATACTTCATATTAAACGTACTAAGTAATTACTGTACTCAATTTTAATACTCGTTTAATATAATATGCTATAACTAACTTATAGTAATGGAGAAGATGAAAATGTATAAGGAAGTGGGTGGAGTGCGTATGCCGCTGCATTACTTGGAAGAATCTGTTTTATCTGGAATGAATTATATAGCGAAACCTGGAGATTTATTTCTCGTTAGTTATCCGAAATGTGGAACAACTTGGATGCATCATATAGTCAACTTAATCCTTCGTAAAGGTCAACCATCAGAGGATCCGTTAGATTTCCTGTTAGGTTGTCCGTTTATAGAAATGATGGGAAGAGAATACATAGAAATGACTAAACCGAAAGCCATGAAAACACACTTACCATTTCTTGCTACTCATTTTTCTCCAGATTCTAAATATATTTACATTACCAGAAACCCTAGAGATTGTTGTGTTTCGTTTTATCATTACATAAAATTCCATCCACTTCCTACAGTCGAATTAAGTTTTCAAGAATTTTTTGAAGCATTTCTCGATGGTAATATACCATACGGCGATTATTTCGATCATCTTCTCGGATGGTACGAACATAAAAATGACGACAACGTTCATTTTGTAACATACGAAGATCTCAAGAAAGATATTAAACGAGAAATATTGAAAATAGCCAAATTTATGGGAGAAGAATACGAAGAAAGTATTTTGAGTGATCCAACAATATTAGAAAATATTGTTTATTACAGTAGTTTCGATTATATGAAGGAGAACAGCAAAAAGAACGTTGATGTGTTTTTTCAAAAAGACAAAACGTGGCTTGAAAACAAAAATATACCTCCAGTGATGAGAAAAGTTGTACAAAATTTAAATAAAACAGGAAAAGATACAGAAAGCGGGATCCTGGTTAGAAAAGGAATTGTTGGCGATTGGAAAAATCACTTTAACGAAGAACAAGTACGATTGTTAAATGAAAAAATTGTGGAAAGAACAAAAGACAGTGACGTCATGAATTTGTGGAAAGACATTTTTTGAAAATAATTAAATATGTAATTTTAAGACATTTATTGAAGTTATAAAATAAATTCCGAAATTCTATTAAAAAGTTTATTCTCCATTAATAATAATAATGTTATATAATTACAGACTTTTCAAAAGAACTTTTTCTTACAACATAAATTTGCTACTCGCTATAAATTGTAACAATTATTCGTGGTAATGATAATAATGTTTACCTAATACATTATAAAAAAATACGAATTTAGATATTAATTTAAATCAATATTATCACATTAACAAATAGAATTTATCAAAGGTTAGGCTTTTATATCGCATCTAAAACAATGATTAATTGGCAACATTCATATTCATTGTTTAATCTTTTATTACTTTGTTTGAAATTACTGATTATAGTTTTGAATTTTAAAATTTATAATGCTCTTTATTGCATAAAAATAATAAAGAATTTGTAAAGAGCAAAACTTATAAATGCATTTATTTAAACATTTTCCTATTATATTAAAATGCTTACCTACAACTCAGACTAATTTCAAATAGTGATGGGACAATACCGAAAATTTTCCCGACTCCAATTCTTTTAAATACTTTCAAAAGTTTATTTTAGTTTAGAAAAATAAATGAATTACATCAAAAACACGGTACATTCATTAATTAATAAATATTAAGCTTAAGAACGATTCTGGATTTTCCGATCGTTTTCCATTCTTTCGAAAGTAACGTGAGAATTCTCAATTTACATGTGGATAAGCACGCTTTTATTGTGTACTATAAATTTGTAATTTTGTTACGGATAAAGTTAAAATATTGCAACAATACCTTCCAAGTAGTTACAGCTAATTCCCTTTTACTCGACGAACTATCCTATCGTGTCGTGGAGGGTCGCCATTTTTGGAAACTGCTTCGTTGGCCCACGACATGACCGCGAGAGGAGATGCATATCTTTAACGCTTCTTGCAATGGGCATGTCTTGTAAATGATTAAATTCCATCGTATTTAATACTTAGTGAGGTTTGTCAAATAATGCAATTAGCCGAACAAATATTAACGTCACGACTTTATACTGTTTAATTAAAACATAATAGTATTTTTTGTCGAATGATAGAACTGTTTTTTATAGGGTCTCTTAAAACTGTGGCTGAAAACTTTAGAGCATTACAGTTATTTACTAGAAATTCCATACAGGTGTTAGTTTCTATATACTTTATTAGTATTGGAAATTCATTTTGGACTTAGCACCTCACCAGTCCAAACAACAAGCATAGATAAATAATTTTCTATAATGTTATATAATTTATTTTTCATTTACATAATATTTTGAAAGTTATAAGACATTTAAACTGTGCCTATAAGTGGAATTTCTATCTGGTGTATATTCATAACATGATGATCTTGCTCTCAACCAAGGTATTAAAAATACAATTGATTAAAAAGTTGAAAAATTGTTGTTTCTTAGCTGTGCACAGACTAACAAATCTTACAAAATTAAATTTTTCTTTAAATAAACAATTTAAAGATCAATTTAAATCCAAAAGACCCATTAAAATCTTGTCCACTTGCAGACATTAAAAATTGTAATTGTAAGAATTTTTCTAAGTTATACAGTACATATTATGACTTAAGACTTGGCGACAAAACCGGCTAGATCTGGCACTTTTTGGCCTATGTAAACCCTTATGCCACCAACTCCAACCAACCTAGACAAATTCTTAAATTATTTATATACATATACAAAATCAAACTTCTCGATTAATTGTACAGATGAATTTGTAGGTAAATTAAAACATTTACATTTCAACACTGTAAATAGAATAGCTTTTATAAAATAAGGCTCTTCTACGACCAATAACCGGAGCGAAGTACAGTACGATTGTCTTGAATAACAAACATTTTCATAACCGCTTCTGAGTTCGTCCTCAAGTTTTCTCAATTCTTCTAATAGCTTCTGTGGATGCATTATTGATGGATACATACCATTCTAGAAACATTACACAAAAATAAGTGCCCAGATTGGTTAAAAATCTTAATACAAATATAAACAATTACTTTTTTCTGTTAGTTAGTAGGTTGTTTCCTTTAAAATGAAAACAGACGACAGGAGTCTGGTTGTTCGAAACAGAGCTTTGATCTAACAATGCTTTATATCCTACAATTTTACATCTTGTCTCCACCAACATGAGGGTGAAAAGTGCGCACGTAGGAGTTTTTATTTTTGTTTCGCAATCCCTCAATTTTTTGACTGCCACGACCCCCTTTACACCTCTCTAGTTAATAAAAAGATGGTGAGAAACACATCACCGGTGTTTTGGTTCGTTGGTTGGTTAGGGTTTATTGGCACAAGCGCCACATAGGCCAAGCTGTGCCATGTCAAATGGTATAATTGTATAATCTAATAAATAAATAAAATTAATATATAATGTAAAACAAAAAAAAATTAAAAAATGACAAAAAAACAAATAACGAAAACATATAACAGTACAAATGTATATAATAAGATGTATATATAAATAAATAATAAATAATTAAATCTGTTTATAAATATTTGTAAGCATGACACAATGTTGAGTTAACAGAAACAGAAGGGAGGGAACAGAAAGAGATTGTTTTAGTTTACAGTAGAGTTTCATAGGATGGGATGGTCCACAAATTGTAAGTGGGAGAGGATGCGTTAGAAAGGCATCACCTTGAGAAGGGGTTTCTGTTCCTTCTGTTTCTGTTAACTCAACATTGTGTCATGCTTACTCGGATGTTTTTTCCAACACTATGTCATGGTTGCTGTAAGTTCAAAAAATTTTGTACATCTATGTTAATTGTTCCCCTTTTGTAAATCTGTTTCCAATTTAATCATTATTGTAGCTTATGCCTGTTAAGCAATAATCATCATCCATATTTTTTCTAATGTCACAATTCCTGCATTTCTCATAATCCATGCAAGTTTCCTAATGTTCTTTTACAATTTTGTAACATTATAGTAAATTTTTTACTAACTTATATACATTATGCTGATTTTCTCTGTATAGTTGTAACATAAGAGTTAAAAAGGGATATAATTATCCGAAATGCATACTCAAATAAATAAAAAGTCTTTCTAAAGTTTCTCCTTCGTTTCATTGATGGTGTAATAAGTCTAGCGGAAAAGAAAAGCCATCTTAGCGCTCGTATATTTGAACACAAGACTAAACAAGAAGCATATCGAATAATGTTTACTCTACTATCAACTTTACCTGGAAAAAAGAAAATGGGGGAAAAATTGTGTTTTTAGATCTAAACATCTCCAAGTCCCAGGGAGGTATAATATACTCCATGTTCCATAAATTTAACAACATGCCCTCTTTAATCCCTGCAACAGCTTACCATCTGCAGCACTACATCAATGCAGCTAAAGACCCTTTAATTAGAAGGGCCTTTCTGTTAACTTCCACACAAACCATTTACTGCTGAGTGAACTTACTGCCATTCACTCAGCAGTAAATGCAACGGGTTATACTAATTCCAAATATAAGTATATCTTGAACAACGTTAAAAGATCTTTTTCCCGCCATCACATTACGCATTCCAAAAGAATGCGCAATTGTCTGTCCCACATTACCGTTCTGTGGCCGCATCACTGCCCACATTTGCCATATTTTTAGACAACACACACTATTTCTTCTGGTCACTCCACGACCAAATCTCAGGAAACTGCTATGACAGGGATGCTACTTCCATATTTAAGAAGTCTGGGATTTACTCTATCCCATTGGAAAACACAACATCTGGTATTCACACCCACTACATAGGAGTGACAACCAGAATGTTATCTTGCCACATCTCCAAACACTAACATTCCATCAGGACAGGCAGGTGTGACACTGAAACTATCCTAACTTCATGTCTTTCTGCCCAGAACTTGTTTCCACCATTTCCCTCACCAAATAAAAAATAATAATAAATCACAGTATCTCTTTTTGGTTAAAATAATTTCCTTTAAATAAGGAAAAGAATTGTACAAATTAATCAAATTGACATGCAACATGAAAATAATAATAGACCATGCAGCCAAAAAATAGTTACTTCATATTATGATTTTGTTAAGTAACATGAAACATCATGTGTTCTGTACTAACAACATTCGACAATGTCAAATGTCGTCAGATATATATATTTGTCTTGTCCCATGTTCTAACAAAGATATTTTCAGGGGAAAATGTGTATGAATTAGAATTTCAAACAGACTTCACTTACCATTAAATCAGCAGCAGGATTAGTCAGTCAATCGATTTTAGACAGTCAAATTTTATTCTTTAAATTAGTAATTTATTCACTAATTTACAGAATAAAGTTTGACCAACCAGCTCCAATTCCAACACAAGTGGTCTTTAGTTCCATAATTTAATTAAACCAAGTTTATCCTAATCCTGACAATTTTAAAAAGTGATAAAAAGTTCCTATCACATCGTAGTGATTTTGAATTTTAAAAACTGATCTTGATTTACAAAGCTATACTTATACATTGTCAGAGTTAAGCAAATCTCACTTTATATAACAATTTATTATAATGTATGTATTTTAAAATATTGTACTAAATAGACTACAGAAATGTCTTTCCAGTAACCCGATATTTCAACAAAAATAGGAGCATTTTTGACCTCCTCCCGAGGTCTGCATCATATTTAACAATACAAAAAGTGTATAATAGAATACCGTATTTATTCACATATAAGACGACCTCACAATAGAACAAGGTACGAGTTTAAAGATCAAAATAAGGAGAAATTAGAATTGTATTAATAAATCTAATTTATTTCATTTAATCACAAGTAAAATATCAAATGAACGTAAATGCACACATTGTCTTGCAAAAATTACTGGCATTTTAAACTTTAAGGAAAAATCCTGTAAAATCGACAACGTAATTTGTTCACATAAAGCTGGACAACAGAGAACCTTTATTGCCAATTCTTAACAGGCGAATCCACTCTCCGTCGATTACACTTATGAGTTTTTCCAAATAATCATCTGTTTTCATGTGGGAATGGATTAAAACTTATATAGGTTTCCTGTGTGATTTTGGAATTTCAAATTGGAATTCAATTCAAAAGCTTTGCTTTTCCTATTGCTATTCATCTTTGCTCCTGACAATATACAAGAACGGTTCAAACGACCCAGATAAAATACTTCTGTTTTTAAATACAAGAGGGTAAGCATCCTGTTAAAAAAATGCAAATACATGGTTCACGAAAATTATTTATTTGCAAAAATGCAAAGAATCTTTCGCTCGCGTGTATAGGACGACCTAGGAATTTGAAGCTGTGATAAATAAATAAAAACCTCATCTTATATGCAAGTAAATACGGTATTTCAAAAAGACTGTTATGCCAGAGATCGAATATATATGTATTTTCTTTCGTTCTTATTAAATTTGTTATTTGTTAGAAACTATGGAATCCGAGTGAGTCACTTCCTCGTATCTCTCCTCACCTCTGCTCCGAAGCCGACCGCTCGCGTGACGTAAAGTCGCGATTTCCGAGTCCTTAGAGACTCGGTGGTGTCACATCGTGGTGTCAAAGAGACACTGACCCTACGGTCACAGTGGTGTCAGAAGTGGGATGAAAAATTTAGAAACGACCCTAGACAACTCCAAATAATATGGAGACAAGAAGTGAAGGTCGGGCGCGAGGAGAGATAGCGGGAGGTGCACGAGCAGAACCCGCAGGAGGCGCCGCGTTAGGCGGAGTAGGGGGCATGATTACATTAATACCTTCCTTTGCGAGGGACACAGAGGGCCTTAAGGCCACCGATTTTTTTGAGTCTTTAGACGAAATCGCAAAATTAACGAGTTGGAGTAAAGCACAATGTTTAGGAATCGCAAAATTAAAATTAACAGGGATAGCCCGAAAGTTTGCATGGAAAGAAGCAAAGATAAAGGAGGTGGTGACTTATGATGAATTTAAGAAACTCATAGAAACTCAAGAGATTTGATAGGGAGCCAATTTCTTTACGTTTACAAAAGTTTCATGCCTGTGTCCAAGGGCGAGATGAGGACGTACAAACCTATGCTGTGCAATTACAAACCCTGGTAAGGAATACGATGGTAGGACGAACTAGCAGGGATGCGCAGGAAAGGGAAGTTATTAAAAGATGTCAACAAAAAGAGAGGGACGAAAGATTGCTGGTGCAATTCCTCAGCGGCCAAAATGAGAGCATAAAGAGACAGGTAATGTCGCGAGATCCGGAGACATTCGATAAGGAGGTGCAAGCAGCCATCAGTGAAGAAACTATAGAACAATTAATGGCGAAATCACGAGCGATAGTCAGAAATATAAATAATCCTATCAATCCGAAAAAGGATCCTAGCGAAACACGTCATAAGCAATTGGGAGAAACCTTAGCAGAAATTCAAGAGCAATTGAGACGATTAGGCACCCAAACACATAGTCGAGGTGATCCTAGACTCAGACCACCGCCATGTTGACATTCTCGAAAATATTCAGAACCACGAAGACAAAGCTATATCGATAGAACTATAGATCAAACAATCTGGCAAATACAAGAGCAATTACATGAGTTACGACGGCAGGAAAGTCAAACCGAATTCCCCATGCATAGAGGCAATAATGCTAATAACAGATATAGTGACCCATTCGACGACTCAAGAAACAAAATAGGCGGCGTGCGAAACCAACCTTACAATTCTCGACACAGACCAAGACGATATGAGGCAAGACACGATTTAGGCGACTCAAGAATTAACTGGCAACCCGGACGACTCCATCACAACCCCAGACACGGCAATATGAGAGAATAGTCAACAGAAACCGGCGAAATTTTAGAGGCGATTATAGGCATGAGAGAAAAAATACACCCAGGATTAGAATATCTAGATTCAGTGATGCAGCAACTCATGGTAATTTCAGAGCGCATGACGCGAAGCCTACGTTATATTGTTTCATTTATAACATAGCAACCGGATTAGCCATAGATACAGGATCCAAGGGGACGCTGTTGTCGAAATCACTGGCGCACCGATTAGGCGCCTTCAAAAGGAAAAATAACAGGAGCGAGATATCTTTCCGAAGCGTCACCGGACACCGAATCAACACGTATGGTGAAACCAATTTCCTATTTCAAATAGGACTCTTGCAATTTTCGTACCCATGTTGCATTGTAGACGATAAAATTATGCAACCATTTGACGGATAAATAGGAAGAGACATAATAAAAGACAAGGGGTTAGAAATAAACTTAGCGACAGAAACAATAAAACTCCCCGATGGAAGAGTTGTAAGCTTCCAAGACCATGCCACATTAAAAGGGACAACGAGACGAATCCAACCGAAAAAGACCCGAACCAATAAAGAAATCATTGTCAGAGTAGTCCGCATAGAGAAAAACTTCACAAACAACCAAAAGGCAACAAGAGAGAAAAACTTAATAGATCGCCCTCGGAAGCGAATCGTAGAAAAACTATCAACTCCGAAAACTCAAAGGTACACAGAGAGAAACAGCTTCATTCGTGTAACACGAACTTCGATTGCTTCTAAATCTTTTCAATGAAAATATATTTCGTATACGCTTCGGATGAAATTGTTTTCATCGGGAATTTCTTTATTGTATAAAGTGAAAAAGGAAATAGAAAAAGATAAAGAGTAATCACCAATGCAGGCTAAATTTCCCAGTTATCAGAGAAAGCGGATACACTATAATCAATAACCGAAATACCGAAATGACATGAATAATTAAACATTGAAAGATAATAACAGATAATAAATGTCGATGGACGTTTCGATTAGCAATAAATAATTACGCGTATTGGGTAGTAATAATTATTCAATTGGGAATATGCGATATACACTCGAGATTAAATTATGTTGGAGGAAATTACGTAACCTTAGCGAGTGATATCGATGTTTCTTAACTTTTCCATTTTGAATGTCAGGTGGAGCCACAAGCTTTTTTTAAAATTTGTAACCGCCAATTTGATTAAATTTCGAAAGGATTCGGGGTTTGTGCGTTATAAAAAGGAATAAATGCAGTCTTTTTTAATTAAGAAAGGAAGGAGATTTGTTGCAAGGAAGAGAAATGCCAACAACGATATGAGGTGAGATGAACGTTTCAATTGGAATCTCCGAGTAAATACTTAAACAGATTAAATAATTAGAATATTTTTAAAATTTAATTCGATAAAGCACTTAAAATATAAATGGGTTTGGTGAAATTAATTAATATTTTTTTATATTTAAAACGGGATACAATTTTTTTTATTCCCGTAGCACGTCGAAGAACTCGACTGAAAGGTTTTGAATCACTTCTGTGTCTCGTTAGACGTAAATTCACTTTCCACTCAAACAAGGCGCATTACTTCTCTTTAATGAGAAGGAAAATACTCGGAGGAGTGTATCACTTTATGCATCATTAACATATGTGGTTTATTTCTTAGATTTTCCAGTTCAGGGGAGACCCTTAAGTAACCCGAAAGGTCGTATGTATATTTAAAATTTATATGCCTAATAATATAAAAGTCTGTCACATTTCTTTTAACTAACAAATCAATAATAAAAATTAAAGTTTTATTATACAATGTTTGATATTTTTCTTCTAACATATACTTAGAAGGAGTTCAACATTTCCACCGAAGAATTAAGGATAAAATCTGAAAGCTTCGAAGAAAGAAGTGAACATTTACTACTGAGAAAATGGATTTAAAGATCGGAAAGACTTTCTTTGTGATAAATTTATCGAGAAAAATGTTTTTGTAAATAAACCTTGAATAAATTTTGTCGGGATCGAAAGAAACGAAGAAATTGTTATAAACGGTTCTTTTCTGTATTTTACGATGAATGAGTGTTTCGAAATTGGATTTATTTTAGATTAAATATAGATTTATTTTTAAGATATAGCCAATAAGTAGAAAATATTTTCTGCATTTGTGGTTCTATTTCTTGATTTATGTTCGATGTTTAAATTCAGATTTAACATCGTTTGACTTTTCTATAGGTTTTGTGCATGAAAACGCAAAGAAATTTCGCTGTGAAGATTGTGGAAAAGCATTCCGTTTCAAGTGCATATTAGAACGTCATCGCAGGGTTCACACGGGAGAAAAGCCATTTCCTTGTCAGTTCTGCGCTCGAAGATTCAGTCGTAAGCACAGTTTACGAGAGCACGTTAGGATTCATTCTGGAGAGAAACCTTTTACTTGCGACCATTGCAAACAGAGCTTCACACAAAGACCACATCTAGTAAATCATCTTCGCATTCACACAGGAGAAAAGCCATTCCATTGTCAGTTCTGCGCGCGAAGATTCAGTGACAAGTCTAATTTACGACAGCACGTTAGGATTCATTCTGTAGAGAAACCTTTTACCTGCGACCATTGCAAATGCAGCTTTACACAACGCCATCATCTAGTAAATCATCTTCGCATTCATACAGGAGAAAAGCCATTTGCTTGTGATCACTGCAAACGGAAATTTTCAAGGAAAGATAATTTAATACGTCATCTTCGCATTCACACAGGGCAAAAGACTTGAAACTTAAGCCGAATTTTCAACACAATTTATCAGAGGAAACACCTTTCGAATAAATATTCGTATAGCCCATTTTCGAATTTTAAATTGTTTAGAATTGTTCTATTATTCATTTTATTGAACGTTTCAAAACGTGTAATCTGATTTAAATATTCGTTCTATGTAATTTATATAGTTATGAAAATAAAATGTTTTCCAATTGTAAGATTGAGTTTTCTTATTGTAATTAAGAAATAAAGAAGCTTCGTTACAAGAAAATNGTTCTATGTAATTTATATAGTTATGAAAATAAAATGTTTTCCAATTGTAAGATTGAGTTTTCTTATTGTAATTAAGAAATAAAGAAGCTTCGTTACAAGAAAATAAAATGATGACAGTCATATTTGAATAGCAAATGACTGAAGTTTTGATTTACGTTTTGAATCGTTGAATGCAACGTAATTTGGAAAATACTCGGAGGTTGACATCACACATTATTGTTTGTTTAGTAAAAGGAAAGACCTGTGTGTATGGGCACGCAACAAAAGACATTACAATCATAAATATTAATTCCAACAAAATAAAATAATGTTCATAATACAGCGCATAGTAATAAGCATGTTAATTAACACATATTACTGTATTTCTTGTTTTGCACGTATATATTACAAAGTATGAAAAAAAGCAGAAAAAAGTAATCTGCCACACAACATTTGTATTTATCGCGTAATGCACACGTTATCTTAAAATTTAAGTACGATGAGACTAGAATTAAAACTGAAAGTACTGTTTTTTTTACGATTTTTTCAAAATAAATTTACAAATGAAATCAAAGAGAATTTCGATAAGAAAATTCTCACATCCACAAATTGCATTTGTCAAAGAAATTTCCTAATCGACAATCGCACTTAAATGGCTTTAAGCCCGTGTGAAAGCGAAGATGCTACAGTTGATATTCCCTCAGTGTTAAGCTTCGTTTGCAAAGGTGAAAGTTTTCCGGAATGAATCTTCAAGTGTTTTCGTAGATTGGAAAATTGAATGATTTCCCACATAACTGGTAAGAGAACGGCTTTTCTCCTATACGAATCCTATTACGACATTGTAAGTATGACGAATTCCTCAAGAATATATAATTTAATGACTTTTATTACATTTATAAAATTAATTCCGAAATTCTATTACAAAGCTTATACCATTAATAGTAATAATGTTATACAATTACAGAAGATTTTTCAAATCAACTTTCAATATAAAATTGCTACTCGCTATAAATTGTAACTATATTTCATTGAAATTATATCTTATGTAATTTCGAAAGAAAATGTACATATTTTTATACACTAAATATTGTAAATAAATAATGAAAATTTTTGAATTGAAATGTTCTAAAATATTGATATTTTGTTAATTTACAGAATATTCTTGCATCTAAAATGCACTGATTATAATTATAATATACCAGTTCAACTTTATTTTATTTCTTATAATTATTCGTGGTAAACGTAATAACGTTTATCTATAGATTATTAAAATATATATATAAATTTAAATATTAATTTCATTAATTAATATTATCAAAAAGAATTTATCAAAGGTTAGGTTTTTACTTCGTATGTGTAACAATGGGTTAATTCTTTACGTTCATATACAACGGATGATCGGTTAGCAGAAACTGTCTACTATTTAAGCAATTACACACGTGGAGAAAACCCAGTAAACTTCACGTGGCCAGCTCGTACTAGTGAGGCGCGAACCCACGACCGAACTCCCAGTGTTTAGAGTACTGAAGACTGGTTGGCCGCCTGTGGGCGAACGGGAGAGACGAAGGTTAAATCAAAAGATACACTTTTTTACGCTTCTCGCAATGGGCATATGTTGTAAATGATTAAATTCCATCGTATTTAATTCTAAGTGGGTTTGTCAAATGATGCAACGAAGCGAACATATATCAACGTTAACCGACCTTTGAATTCATTTCTATAAAAGAAAATAAACAAGTAACGAGTTGCTTAACTTTTCCGGGCACGTTTGCTGGCGCCATCTGTTATCATACTTTATTTTTAATAGTTTTGTATTTTTAACTATTATAAAATGTCAAAAAGCTTAATTTTGAGGGTAGAAACGAATTTAATAGGAAGAAAAGTATTTTTTATCATTTTTAGAAATTGGACTAATTAACGAAGAAAGCCATTGATTTGAAACAAAGCTTGATTGAGTAAATGGAGTAAAAAGTTTACTGAGAATTTAATGTAATTTATTATACCTGTTTGTTTTATATTCGGTACAAAGGATGTATAGTTGTACTAATAAATACATCATATACATAATAGCTCATTTTAAAGATTAGTTTTTAATAATAATTGTAAAATATAGAAAACCATACAAAATGATAACATAATTATTAAATTATTTTCGTGTAAATTTAATACAATTCGTCAATAATATTACTCAGATTATCTCACAGATAACCTTGTAATGTGAATTATTTATTAAACGTTATATTAAAATTTATTATATAGCCTTTAAAGGTTTTTATTATAATATTTTTATAAAATATCTTTCCATAAATTCATTACGTCGCTATTTTTCGTTTTTTCGGCAATTTTTTCGTCCAGTAGCTTTATTTGCTTTTCATTGAAATGATTTTTCCAGTCTCCTANGTTTTAAATTCGAATTTGTTATTGCGTATTGGTTCGATTATAGAACGATTGTAAACGTTTCAGAAAATTGATCAAATTGAAAATAGTTCGTTTGATTTTCGGCAATTCTCTTCAGCGGTAGGTGTTATATAACAATTACTATGGTTATTGAAATATTGGATGTAAATGGGGTTTGCTTGCAAAACCTCCGCTGACGAAGTCGCGGGTAACAGCTAGTAATGTTATATAATTACAGAAGATTTTTCAAAAGAACTTTTTCTTACAATATAAAATCGCTACTCGCTGTAAATTGTAACTATATTTTTCGAAATTATATCTTAGTTAATTTTGAAATAAAATGTGCATAATTATTGATAAAAATTTAATTAAAAGTATAAAAATTTAATTTGTTTGACTCTGATGAAACCGTGTTGTAGTGTTGTAGATGACACAAACTGAATAAAGTGGTGAATAATCTGCCAAGTGTTGAATAATGTCACCGTAGTGTGTCTGTAAAAACATTTAAAATTTATTTCATTCAATGTTTTAATGTATAAGACAATTTAAGAATTGAAAAAAGTAGCATTAACACATTCGTAGACATTTTTAAATTGAATTGTTATAAAATATTGATATTTATTTAATTTACAGAATATTCTGGCATTTAAAATGCATTGATTATAATTATAATATACCAGATAAACTTTATTGTATTTCTGATAATTATTCGTGGTAAACGCGATAATGTTTATGTATAGATTATTAAAATATATATATAAATTTAAATATTAATTTCATCAATATTACCAAATAGAATTTATCAAACGTTAGGCTTTTATTTCGTATGTGTAACAATGGGTAACAATGTTCATATACAATGGGTGATCGGTTAGGGGAAACTGAATACTATTTAGGATTACACGCGTGGAGAAAACCCGGATAATTCCACGTGGCCAGCTCGTACTAGTGAGGAGCGAAACCACGACCGAACTCCCAGTGTTTAGAGTAACGAAGACCGCTTGGCCATTGGTGGACAAAGGTATATCAGAAGATTCACTTTTTTACGCTTCTCGCAATGAACATATCTTGTAAATAATTGAACTTCATCGTATTTAATGCTAAGTGGGTTTGTCAGATGATGCAACGAACCAACATATATCAACGTTAACCGACCTTTGAATTCATTTCTATAAAAGAAAATAAACAAGTAACGAGTTGCTTACCTTTTCCGGCCACATTTGCTGGAGCCATCTGTTATCATACTTTATTTTTAATAGTTTTATATTTTTAACAATTATAAAATGTCAAAAAGCTTAATTTTGAGGGTAGAAACGGGTTTATATGTAATACGACGAAAAGTATTTTTTATCATTTTTAGAAATTGGACTAATTAACGAAGAAAGCCATTGATTTGAAACAAAGCTTGATTGAGTAAATGGAGTAAAAAGTTTACTGAGAATTTAATGTAATTTATTATACCTGTTTGTTTTATATTCGGTACGAAGGATGTATAATTGTACTAATAAATACATCATATACATAATAGCTCATTTAAAATATTAGCTTTTAATATTAATTGTAAAATATACAGAACCATACAAAATGATAACATAATTATTAAATTATTTTCGTATAAATTTAATACAATTCGTCGATAATATTACTCAGATGATTTCACAAATAACCTTTTAATGTGAATTATTTATTATACGTTTTATGAAAATTTATTATATATCCTTTAAAGGTTTTTATTATAATATTTTTAAAAATATCTTTCCATAAATTCATTACGTCGCTATTTTTTGTTTTTTCGGCAATTCTTTCGTCCAGTATCTTTATTTTCAGAATAAACACAAAGTAAATTTATAAAATAATAGAAATCTTAAAAAATAACTTTAAAAGTGTCCAACATATTAATAATAATACAATCGTTAAATGTGCTTTAACTCTTCGATATCCGCAGTGCGAGCCTATTGAATCTAATAACGAAAGTAGCCAATTAGATATCCGATGGTATTGTACAGTACATACTACGACACTAGTGACGAAACACTCGTGTCAGACGTCACAAAACTAACACAGCAAAGATACCCTCTTCAAGTTGTTGAAGTGTCCCGTCTATGACAAACTGGAGGAATTCCATTTGTTGCTTGGTCTTCGGATGTGGATCGATCGAAAATTTACTGAATTACGAAAAATAAATGACAACGTATCGAGAAGAGACGTTATAAGACCTTTCCTCCCGTTGATTAGATTTCTAATTGTGAAATCACATTTTATAAAGAAGGCTTGTAACAAATTTCAAAGTGTTTACCTTTCAAGAAGAGAAATTCAATCCATTCAAAAATATCATACTCAGAAAAGTGTAGGAATCCT